TGGAACCCCCCGATTGGAGCATGTCTATCTCGGTTAAAAACAATCAAATATTTCAAAAACTATTAATTTGCGACGGAAATGAAGTTGATATTCGTGTTCAGCGCATCAATAATTTAGATTCTAGATCTAGAAGTCTAGTAGAAAATAGACAACTGGTAGCTGAGTGTGAGACGGGAGGGAAAGTAAAAAAATACCCAAGATTCTATATCTCTAGATCTAGATTTAGATTCTAGTTGGTCATTGATTTGACTTAGATCTAGATCTAGATCTATGATATAATGTCATAGATCTGCAATTCTGTATTATTAGTCTATGTTGTAATTTTTTACACAGTGACTTCGTTCACGGTGCCATGATCGTTGTGTCGTAGTAGTGTAGTTTGCAGGCTACCTATGTTCACGGCATCACGGCGTCCTGAATCATCCACCACTTGCACAGAGGCACGACTGAAACGCTTGGCTAAGGTCACTCACTCAAAGTGAATATATATGGAAACAGCACCGGAATACTCGCGTGAAAAATAATGCAGCGGTTGTCCAATTTATGCAACAGAGTTTACAGGGGGCAAAGGCGGGCACAGCAAAACAGCCGTGGTCGTCAAGGCCTCGCTAGCTCGGTTCACGGAATACAACTTCGATCCTCTTCCCATGTACAGAATCTTGCGGGAGGACTTCCGTAATGAGCGACCACTTTGAGACAGAGCAGAATTGAGGGGTAGGGTTAGGTCTAGGCCTCTTCTTTATTGTGTTTGATGGGGTGGTCGCTCGTTACGGAAGTCCTTCCGAATCTGCAACGCTTGACAATTTGAAAATATTTAAGTCGTTTGAAGAGACAAGGGAAAATGGAAGAAGGCCAAGGCGGGAAGAGGGGTGGGAGGGGTGAAAAAAAGAGTAGGGGATGAATTGAGCAAGATCATTCGGCAATTTTTAAGATTCCCGCGTTAAGAATCTAATTCCGATTTGCAATTTTCAGGGTTAGGGTTAGGGGCCAAAACATGCCTGAGGCTATGAAAAACGCAAATCGAATGTTGACAATCGTCGATCATGATTCTGTACAAACTACTACATTCAAGGGACCGTGAACGTAGCCTGCAGACTACGTTCATGGGGCCGTGAACATGGTCATCATGGAATTCTTTTTACTACAAGCTTGAATAATGAGTCATGTGTGAATGGAAGCTGACTGCACTGAAGGCTTTTTATTACATGAGAGTAAGAGTTAGGTTGGGTCAGGCTCCCAAAATTGATGTCTGTGAGTAGGAAGTGGCTATTCTCACCCCGGGTGAGAATAGAAATACAATCGACCTCTCACCCTGGGTGAGACTTGCCACCGTAGGCTATTCTCACCCGGTGTGAAACAAGACCTGTTTTTCCTAATTTCTGAATACTTTCTTTCGATGTGGATGATCAAATGGATAAAGGCAAAGAAAAGATTACGTTATAGCACAAAAGTAAGCTAATTTTATCTACTACAAAGATGCTATGGCTATTTCACTTTTCGAATTGAGCCGAACTACGGGGGTCACCATTTTGTTTTGCCCGGAAGTTCTCGCGCTACTCCTCTCTCTCTCTCTCTCTCTTTCTTTCTCTCTCTCTCTCCACTGCCCACAGACAAAATTGTACGCTTTTAGTATTAGTATTAGTAGACTAACAGTAGTAATGGAACGTTTGTTCACGGCACAGAATTCTACAATTTTTCTGTTATCACAGTGTAGAATTCTGTGGTTTAGGGTGAACGCAAAATTGGTTGGCCTAGATCTAGGCTATAACGGTGAACGCGCACCGGGTGAGAATAGCCAAAAGACTCGCCTGCACTATTATAGAGGTGGCCCTGTGAGTAATACAACAGTTTTATGACCAATACTCGTTAACAAAGGGACGGATAACAAACCGCCCGCTTGTGAAGATTCATTCGCTGCTCCCCGGACGCAGAGACAATTGTTTTCAAAGCAAGTGGATGAGTGACTTTATAATGCAATTGGACGGGCAAACATTCTACATCTCCTTGCATCGCATGATAGACTACCAGCCTACCTACTACTATACCTTGCTGTCATTGTAGAGGTAGTAGAGTTAAGTTGTTTGATGCCATTCATGGCGGGTGTTTTTCCCCCCAAGTGCAAGGTCTTTGGACTTTGGGAATTTTTTAAACTTTGCCATTGCAATTTAGTAGAAAGCACACAGTGTGGCCCACACATGGGGTGAAAGGTACACACAATGTTCTACATCATCAGCCTCTCTCACTCCTTGTGCACAGCTAGTAGCTTAACATTAGGTAGCAATTACATCCATTCCGGCTGTGTGAAAACATGGTAGACTCACCCCAACCAGGGGTAACTCCGGGAACATGCTTATTTATAGCATTGTTATTTGCGTAAGCCCCATGCATCACGTATCAATACACACGGGAGAAATTGAGGCATTCGCTGAAGAAAAAGTTTTTCTGATCAATAATAGTGACAGTTGATTCTTCATCAAAGAAAGTTAGAGGATTGATCGGTAGCAAAACCGAAACCCGCCGAATGGCACAGTGATTTACCGACTCTCCTTATTAGCGTAGACCACCTAAATATTACCCGAATACTCCCAAATTTGGCAACCAATGAGAAGAAAGATGAACCTTATCTTAGTGGATAAAATTCAATTTTTTAATTGAGCTAGAAACAAGAAGTTACAAGGTCATTTCTTTGAGGACACTGTTCTCGAAAAAGTGTGGACGATTAATTGGCGAAATGCTCCTGCATCATCTCAGACAGGCTGAACTTTGTAATATTAGGAGCTTTGTGAAATTCTCCGTAAAACAATGGCATTTTGAAAAAATTTCGATGATGTCATTCCTGTGTATCTTGCATAGCCTGAAAGCCAGAAAGGGAAGCACTGCCGCACTCGGGAAACGCTTGCCGCCATCTCGCTGTGACGTCACGGCTGCATAAAGCATAGCCAATGATTGGACAGTTATTTTAATGGGCCTGAATACCACGGAACACACCGTTCTCCTAGACGCGAGCGTAATGAAGGTTCCTTTCCATACCGTCACAAATAATTGGGCAATTTCGGTGTTATACTAATTTAGTGCTGATATGAACTTCAAGATAACTGTATGTTATATTAATAAATGTAATTGAGCATTTTGTTAATAATTAGTTATGTGCATAATCAAGTTGAGTTCATATGAATTTATCAAACATTCAAAACTTTTCCCCACGTTAAAAAATTGTTTTCCCTTTGCAAAGATTTTTGTATACATTTACATATAAACTGTTTTATCAGGACACATGTGTATCAACAAGCCATATGTTCATTTGTTTTTTAATTGAAATGAGCATAATTAGTTATTACATAGTTTCAATTATAAGTTTGACATATTTCTTTAAAGAAACTGAGCTTGATGATATTTTTATCAACCTGATATTTAGTTTCCCACTTTTTGAGCTGTTACAAGTTACAGGTTGCAATTTGGTTAACTAATAGGCATATTCAAATGAGTGCATAATCAAACACTTTAAACTTTTTTTTGTAACATTTCTTCAATTCGTCTCTTTGCAAACATAGATTTGTATACATCCACAACATGTAACAGTAACAGAAAAGACATATAATATATTCTATTATTAAGCCATGTATTGAATTTTATGCATATTTGATGATTTACTTCCATACAATTAACAGGGTATTGAGATCATAACTTTAATTTTTTCTTTTGTGAGGCATCGTGTTGAAATCAGGCGCTCGTCAAAATAATGAAATCGAAGAAATTGGCATTTTTCTGACCGTTTTGGCAATTTTTATCAAATTTTTGTTTTTTGACTCAACACCTACTCTTTCCGGACGTATCGCCGATATATCCACCGTGATAGGGTACCTCAGTTTTGTTTCGTTTTAGCACGATCCATCATTTGTAATTACTTTTTATTGCTATTGAAAAACTCGGAAAGGATTTAGGAAACAAAAATATCTAGTTTCACTTTGTCAAAGCGTAGGTTTGGGGAAAAACGAGTGAATTAGTTCTTGCGGTCTTGCATCAACAAAACGATGTAACTGAACTCAGTATAAATATCATAACTCAAAACAAAAATTAGAATATTGCTTTCAAATAAAAAGCTGCGCATTCAGAAATTTACGGATTATGCTCTTGGCCTCTATGATAAGATAGCTATTCTGATTTGCTTTCATATATTTGGGGAATGTAATTTTTTTCCTTCAAAATAAATTTTTCTCATCACCATTGCCATTTCAGACCCTTCTAATGCATCCTTATGATCAAAATTAATCCTTGTTTCATATTGGGATGTTTTCCTCATTCAATTTCCTTCAATGTGGTATATCATATGTTACGTTTTGAGGGATGGTTATGCTTCTATGAAGTTATTTTTTACCCCACCTGCATAGACAAATCGAGCCACAGGTTAATTATGCCTAAACCCCAAAAAAGCTGCGTCCGGAAAGAGTTAAGTAAGGTCCATTTACAAACACATTTCTGTGTGGATTTCACTTAAAAATGTTGATTTAAGGCACAAAAATGTAAATTTGCAGTTTCTAAGGACTCTCAAGCTTTGGTCCCCACCTCCTTCAATCACAGATATCTCGACTTCTATTCATGATAGATGAGTATTTTTGTCACCAAAAGCAAGACAATTGATTTAATTGAACAAGCTGTAAATTGATACCAATAACTCCACATGTCTAAAAATTGACAAGCGCCTGATTCCACCAGGTTGTGACCCATTTTCTATTTTGCTGCCTTCAAAAAACATAAACTCACAAATTTTCAACGCATTCCACTCTTAAATGTGAAAGCTATCTAGTATAATGTTGGTTTTCAATACATTTATCACCATTATTCTGGTTCAGTTTGCCCTTCTTTATTCTTTTTTAGGAATTTTCTCCAAAATACCCACAATTTCAAACACGTACACAGCCATAACTTTTTTATTTTTTATTTATGGACCAATTTTCAAAAAGTAAAAAATGTTTTATTTCTGGAATATTTATCTTTGTACCTGTATCGGTTAGAAGTACTCCATATTTTAAAAAGCTGTGGTATTGCAAGGTTTATCTTGTAGATTCTTAGTTGAGGCTGTAGGACTGTACAAATAAGTAGAATAAATGACAACAGTTGAGAAACTGTCACTGATTAGACATTTATCAAATTAATAGGCTACGGCTAAATAGGGATTTTATATGTATAATGAATTTTATTATGTATCCTCTGAAAAGAAAGAAGATTTGATTAGGTATGTCAAATTCCTTGAAATTGAAGAACATTTTAGGCTAAAGAACATTAATTTTGTTGTAGTTACTTTTTTTCCTATTGGTTACCACACGTGCACTGGGGTCATTCTGAGGCTAGAAAAGGGTGGGTTTTTTAGTCTAAGATTTGCGAAGTCGTTGTTCAGTTTCAAATCTTAATATACTTTTTTATTTTTTAAAAAGCAGACTGCTATTTTGCTCTCATTTGCTTTTGTTTATTAAGTCCATGCCTTTCTTTTGTTTTATTTGTGGAATTTCAGAACTTATGACTCTGTAGAAATCAGGCCGGGTCCTCAACTGAACGTTATCATTGGCCCAAATGGAACAGGCAAATCTGCAATTGTTTGTGCAATATGCTTGGGACTTGCTGGAAAGACAAGCTGGCTGGGAAGAGCCACAGATCCAAGAGACTACATTAGACATGGAGCGGATAAAGCCAGAATTGAAATTGAACTGTAGGTTATTCTCGATATATTTAAAATTATGCCCAATATATTATACTCATCAGTAACAAGTTATTCCAAACTTCTCCAGAATGCAAATATACTTAATTCTTTGTGCTTGTTGTGCAGTTTTCTAGAATTTACTAATTTACATTTACTTTGTATCCTAGTGGCAGGTGGCTCTGATCATTGAGGATGCGATAGATTACTTCCAAATTAACCCCTAGTATTCTGTTTATATGAAGTTGTAGATGTTTAATGTTCTCCTCTTGTCTTTTCAACTGGTTTTTTGATAGTTTGAATGAGAAGAGCAGTGTTTTCTTTCGTTCATCATTTCAGTTTCTGGCAGTACGTTAGTGTTAACAATTTTGAAGCTCAGCTGATTGCACATGTATGGTTATTACATTAAGCAAAATTATTTTTTAACTTTGAAAAAAAGCTTGCACATTCAGAATTCAAATAATATTGAATAAATGACAGCTAAATAACTATTATGCTGGTGATTCTCAAATTTGACACAACACTTTTATCAGGTTCAATCCAGTGGCTGATGCTTCCAATTACATCATTGCTCGTGAGATCACTTTTACCAAGACATCAAGCTGGTGGATGAATGGACGAGCAACGACACAAAAAGCGGTAAGTATGTCTGTCCATTTACTTTCTGTCTTATTTCGTCTCTAAAATGGAACACCGAATATGTTTGTTTTAGCCTGATGTAAAATATGTTGCATTGTTGAGGGCTTTTTTTTATAATTCTGAAAATTCAACTTGAATGTGAGTTTAAAAATTAGCACGATACTTGTGCTTATTTTGGTGAAGGAACATGTTTAATTGTACATGGTTATGATAGCAAGTTAAAAAAAAAAAATTTCCGGCCTTGAAGTTGATCTCCTTTGACTTTAATAATATTTATTTAAATTGCCTTGAATGTACAGTACACCCAATTTCTCCTTTTAGAATGATGTTTAATTTTCATAGCTTTACTTTTTCTTGTGCTGTCAAATGTGTTTATTCGTTTCAGTTATACTACTATCTTTTGAGTTTTCGTATGAAAGGAGGAAAAGAAGGGTTAAGATAGCTCTCCTTCAGTTGCTGGGTTTATTTCTTAGTTTTAATCATTTAGACAGAGGATGGAAGTCATCATTTCTTTTGCTCTAGATGCATCTTCCAAAGCTTCATAATGTAATCTGTCTCACAGGTTGAAGCCACTGTTGCACGCTTGAACATTCAGGTTGGGAATCTGTGCCAGTTTCTGCCACAAGAAAAAGTCGCTGACTTTGCCCGCATGTCTCAACAAGAGCTTTTAGAAAATACAGAGAAATCAGTGAGTACTTAAATTGTGCAAAAGAACTCCTAAGATTAATCAGAGGAAGAAGGCTTTTCCTGTTAATGAAATGTAAATCTACTCTATGGTTAAATGTGATGTCATTCTTTTACAAATTATTTTCTGTTAATCTGGAGCTCAATTAAATAGTGAACGTATATTTAGTTGAACCCCATTTAAGAATGTTTTTTGTATTTCTGTAAAGTAGACATGTTGTGACCTTGAATATGTCACAGAACCCAAGAATTATCATGCAATGTGACAAAAGTGAATCTTGTTACCGCTGTTTCACTGGGAACATCAAATAAATTGAAAATACAATGCATAAAATCTACTGAAACTGAAAACTGGCTCTGAGCATAGCTACCTCTCCTTAACCAGCGTTACTTTTGCCAACTGAGAGGTTAGTTGAAATATGTATATATACATGCTGTGGTTAAACATAAACAGTAGAAGGAATTGCTCATTGTGCTTGCATACTGATCTATTTTGCCTTTTAAGTTATGACACAGGTAGAGATGAGCACTTGAGCATTGTGGGGCTTGAAAGTGAAAATCTTCTGAGGTGAATAAGTAATGGTTAGTTTCCAACCAAAAGTAAGCCTCTTTCAAATTTTACCCTGCATGTTACCCCAAACACCAAGAGTGATATGGCAGAAAAGTGTATTGACTAAATGTAATGATTGTGTCTGGTGACTTACACTACTTTCAGGTGGGTCAGGAGGGTATGTACGAAAAACATGAACAATTGAAAGGTGCAAGGGAAAAAGCACGCCTCCTGGAGACTGACGTACAGAAGCTGATGGAGCAGCTGAACCAAGAGAAACAGCGCAACGCCCGCTTGGAGCCGGATGTCAAGTCATACAATGACAGGAAAAACTTTTTGGCCAAAGTAGTGGTGCTGAAAATGAAAAAGCCATGGCTGGTATGATTTATTATACGTTTTCTCTTTGATTTAAGAGGATAAAAATAATAATTTCTAGATAATGACTTTTTTTTTTCAGTGTATAATCACATGCCTTTTTATATTTTTAAAATAGATTTTTTTTCTCCTCCTTTCTCCTATTTTTTAAATTTACTTTTGCTTGGAAAATAATTTATTTTGTCTATATAAAGTATAAAATCATGACTCCTAGAGTTTTCAAAGTAAAATCATGCCTGCCATAGTTCATAAAAAAGGTAGCAGAGATGCCAACCAGTACGATTTTACGTATTTTAGTACGATTTTTGGCCGAAAATACGCGAATACGACTTTTCATGGAAAAATATGCATCCTGGAATGCGAAAAATACGAGATTCAGCTTGGGCGGGAAACCAAATTATCTCGAGTCCCTTCTTTTGTCAAAATAGTATCAGTATCGCAGAACTGGAGTATTTGAAAACCAAGTCCGATGTGGTCATTAAGTTAAATTTTGCCGGTCGCGATCGTATATTCGTTCAGCTTTTCCCCGTCTGGAGAGTACGTTTCACTTTCACGCGAATAGGCAGCTATGGCGGCAGGCGGAAGCGTATGCGACACCGAGGCTCGATCGGAAAAATCAAGATCTACTTTCACTTTCGTTACCACCGAGAAGTTTGCCAGCAGTTGTCTGATAACGCAACATTTGTGGCATGCAGGTTGTGCAGTATAAACGCAATGTCGCCGTGCAAATTAAATGTAAGAAATACTCGGACTCGTCGCTGTGCTGTCACTTGTGGGGGGAAAAAAAGAGAAGAAAATACAAGCGTCATCTGATTTTTAGATTGTCTAGCTCGCCGTCGTGACGGGTCACTGAACCTGCGCGCATTCGCATCATAAATAACGGCATCGGGTGAGCAAAGACCGTCTTTGGTGGGAGTAACGGCGCTGCGAAGTATATGACTACGGCATAGAGGAGGAGATTATTGATTTTTTGGGGGTTTAAGATATTATCGGGGGGGGGGTTAAGGCAACACCAGAGGACAAAAACTTGGAAGCACATTTCAGAACTTTGATTAGTTTTGTGCAAAGCGCGCGTTGGTGCAGGCCGTGTGCGGAATCAGGACCCCTCATACTTTGCAAGTCTGTGTTATTGAAATAAAGTGTGCGTGTTTCATTGGATGGGTGATAGTAAATTATACCTACTTGGGTGGGTAATAGTAAATTATACCTACAGTGTATGTTGTAGCTTTCTGTTCAAGACTGGCAGATTTTCAGTGTCACTGCATCTTGCCCTACCACAGTTGTTACAACTCTCACGGTGCATGGGTCTACTTGAGCCATTCAAGTTATTGCTTTTCTCTGAGTTTGAGCAATAATTTGATTCTGTCAGTTCATAATATGAATCATGACACCCAGACTGGTTCTTGATAGTCGAAGTTCTTGTTCTAGGCCCTTCCGAACTCTCAAAGCAGGATTTATTTTTTATATAATAATGAGAGGAAAATAGACTGAAATACTTAAGTCAAACAAGACCCCAGTACGACATTGAACACTGACATGTTGTTGAATGGATACATGTATATTGTACGCGTGTGTGCTCCCTTTTTCGAGCTGGTGAGCTAGTAATTTATTTTCAGGAAATATTGCTGGACACCCTGAACATTTTACTATTACTGGCTAGTCGGTCGGTCGTGGGGAATACACATTTTCCCCTGAAAATACACATTTTCATGTTTCCCAATACTCATTTCGGTTTTCTGTGGTTGGCATCTCTGAGGTAGATCTAACTCAAATATTTGATACTTTGTGCTTTCTTCAATTGTTTGTAGACGTACATCTTATACTTAAGTTTGCGAGAAAGTCACGTACTGATTACTTTACTTAATAATTACATGGTGGTACTGATTTATCTAACTTGACTGTAGTGCTAACTCTGTCCACTGTCATGGCCATGTGACAGGTGGATTATTATGCCATGAAATAACGATGCAATGGTTTTGTCAACAGGAATATAATCTTCTCAAAGAACAGCATGACAGGGCTAGGGATGAGAAGGACAACAAATCTCAAGAACTAAAGCAGCAACAGAAGCAAGTGCAACCCTTACAGAAAAGGCATGACTTATTGAAAGTAGAGAAAGAGAAATTGGAAACGGAAACTCGTGAAAAAGTAAGTTTCATATTTGTTATATTTATGTTTTTATTTCATTTGTATTTGCCGTTTTACATGTTCCCTATTCATAAGATAGCTCCAGGAGAAAATTTTTTAGTACTATTCATCACCTCAGAACTTTTGTCCAAAGTATACTTAAATAAAGAAGCACTTTGGACAAAATAGTTTTGAGGCGACATATTGTGTGTGTTGATTAATAGCAAATATCTCTGAGCATACTCTATTTCTTAGTTGTTTTCATAACGTCTTTGCATGCCCAGTGCTTCCACTCTTCCATATTTTTACGGAAATCGGTACTTTCTGCTAGTTCCATACTTGTTCCTCTATCATTATCAACTCCCTCCGTAAAAGTCTTCGACAGCATATAGGACTACCGAAATTCCGTAGCAAAAGATCTGCACTCGCCTTTGTGTCGTCCTGTATAAGTTACGGATGTTTACGGTAATTCTCTCGGCAATAGTTTATGTTATAGAAACATGCCAGATTGCGCATTTCCTGCCATCGGCCATTATTCCGCTATGCCCCCATGCATTCTTTGTGAGTTGGTCGGCAGTACAATTTTTACCTGCCGATTGATCAAAATCTGGCTATCTTTTTTTGCCACTTACCTCCTTTCTATCATTTACTCATTCCGTCTGTCTTCGGATTGTTGCCGCGGTTGGAAAATCTGCGGGTTGATCAAGTAAATTGACTTGTGATCTTAGACAGAAAATTACTGTCAGAAAGAAACTTGTTTGCAAATTTATTGTCTAAATCTAGAGAAATTATCAGCGCGAAGTTTCTACAGCTCGGGAACACGATAAAGGCCGCGATGAAAGAAATTTGTGCTAAAACTACTAAAATCAAAATTCGAAGTGGTGTTCCAAGGTTGTGACATGCGACATTCAGAAGTGAAAATTGAGGAAAATTAGGGTATCCGCTGGGTAGCTGTATTGTGAAGGTGCATAATATTATCTATTCAGTATTCCCAAGTTTTCCTTCTATCAATCGTGCAATGACAAATTAATTGAATTATGGTTGCAATGAAAGGGGAACCTGCTTTTAAACATTGCCAACAATGGAAAGATATGTAGGTGAAGAAATCAAACTAGACAAAATGTTGGTGAAAAAATAAATGTTATGGGCTGTAGGCAATCTCTTCAAACAGGCTCCCATTTGGGGCTGGAGATGAAAGCAGGTGACAACATGACTACAGAACTGGTAATGAGAAGAAAGAACATTTTAAAAAAGAAAATTTTTTGGCATTGTCAGGTTTTGAACCCAGGACCTATTGAATGAGAGAGACAAACACCGTACCTCTAGACCACAGGAGCCCCCAACCTTCTGTTCTAAATGAAGTAAAAGAAATATTGAGTGTCTGAAAATTTGTGTTTTACTTTTCAGAGTCAAAGGATCCGGTCAAAGGCCAAAGATGTTGAAAACCATCAAGAGAATCTAAATAATGTTTCTGATAAGGTAATTTTAACCCCATTTACTATCTTCTCTCTTTTGTTTTTTATCATGCTGGAGGTATGTCCTCAGTGCCCAGTCATGCTTTGGTGTAAAGAGTAAACAAATATTTTTTTTTTTTGTAGCAACAACTTGTTGTGAAGTATTCCTTTGAAGTATATTTTATTATCCTGTTGTTGGGATGACTGGCATGATTGGTTTTCTTACTTTGATCGGTTCATGGGGTAATTTGTTGTTAAAATTTGCTGAATAAAACTTCCACAGAGGTGGTCAGAGAGTACACGGGATGATTTTACTTTTTTACCCTCTGTTGGTTATATATATATAATATATACCCACATATTAGCGGCAAATGACTGTTTTTGTGCAGTTGTGATGTTTTTAAAAAAATGAAAACAAAGCATTACTGGTTAGGGTAAATTAATCTTCTTTCTTCCCTCATACCTTATGTATTTTTAGGGGAGGAGGGGGGAGCTTGAGTTTTTTTAATATTTTATTTATTTATTTATTTTTATTATTATTTTTTTTTTAATCATAAGGATTGTGATTAAAGAATGTCATGCAAGTATCCAACTTGATCTTTCAGATTGAAGAAGTGAAGGGAGAATATGTTTCGAAACAGAAGGAGGAAGAATCGAGGAAGAAAAGGTATAAATATGTGTCACAATGTGATGAAATCAGGTGCTTGTCAGTTTTTGGACGTATAGAGTTATTGGTATAATCTAAAATCCTGTTTATTTGTCTTGCTTTTGTTTTTAAAAAATAGCCATCTACCTTGAATAGAAGTCTAGATATTTGCGATTGAAAGAGGTGGGGGTCACCTGGTTCCAGAGGTAAAATTAACAAGAAAATGGCCGCCAAAGTTCACTGACTTCCAAAGCTTGTGAGCCCTTGGAAATTTCAAATTTATCTTTTTTTAATGCCTGTAATCACCAAGTTCTAGTAAAATCCACACAGGAATGTGTTTTTATATGGACATGAAAGGTGCTGAGCCAAAAACCAAAAATTCGATGAAAATTGCCAAACGGGTGTGAAAATGCCAATTTCTTCGATTATATTATTTTGACAAGCGCTTGATTTCACCACGATGACTCACATATTGTTTCTTTCCTTTTTTTTTTCTTTTTTTTGTTTTGCTCACTTGTCACCTTGCAGCACCAATATTGACAGTAGACATCTGTTTTCCCACAAGTTGTTTTTTAAATTATAACTTGTCCCGATCTTCACATGTTCTTGCCACCTTGAAGACCCTCAGCCCTCACAATTTCATGACATTTGTGACGTAGGTGATCTGTATATCTTTTCTTTTGTTTTGTTTTTCCCTTTCACACCTGTTTTTGTCAGCATTAATTTTTGTTCCTTCCACAGTTCATGACCAATATATTTTTGTTTTCTATTATTTACATCTTGAAAGTTTTAAAATGAAGTACGCAATTTTTGTTCAATTCTGATTGGTTGCTTTTTTTTGCATTGGATCTGTAGAAAGCTGCGAGTATAACTTTCATCTGATTTTATAGCTTTGAAGTTTCACAGCCATGTTTAAACAATGGCTAAATTAGCAGCGTGAGAAATTTTTTATGCTTCCGGTAAATGTATGTCAATCGTATTAACATTTTAATTTTTAGCTTTATAATTTTTTCTATAGCCATCTCTATTCCTGCTCTTATGTCTATGTCCTTGCAGTTGCCATCATGAGGTTTGAGGAGGGCCTAAATACTTGTAATTTCTTTGTATATCTAGGTTAAATGATCTTCAAGATCAGTTGAAAGCGCTAGAGAGGGGCCTTTCAGAGATGGATGGATCTGATGCCCAGCGAATTGCAGTGAGTAGTACTTGTTGATTATGTGTTCATCCATTGATGTCAGTGATTCTGGGGTACGGTTTTGGTTGGGACTGTTTTCAGAATACAGTGGAAACCTGATATAACAGGGATGGTGGGAGTAGAGAAAATGTCCTGTTATATCTGATCCCTGTTAAATCAGAAATACAAAGGAAAGTAAGCATTTGTGGACTAATCCAGCTGTACTTATTCGTGGGTAGTTTCCCTTGCCATAAGTACCCACGAACTGGGGTTTTGGCACCAATTTTCTCCTTGCCTCCTTAAACCACATCAGAAGAGCTTGATCCTCGGCATTTGCATCGGGTAGTCTCATCTTCTTTCGATCCAGAGCAAAATTTTCATTGGAGTATGCTGCCACTATCTTCTCTCTATCCTTGATAATGGTGTGAATCAACCATTGTGAAATGTCGAACTGACGATAAATCTCTGCCAGTGGAGCTTGCTTTTTGTCAACAGCCTAGATTATTTCGTATTTTTGTCAATTGAAAGGCATTTTCTCTAGCGCTTGACATCGTTGGTGACACATTACGCGTACGTGTTGCTAGGTTTCAGGTGAGATTGAGGTCTGCAGCACACCACAGCCCTCTCTCGCTTCACACACTGCGTGTGCTTGCAGTGGCGTGGCTTGCGTGGGCTTGTCCATCTCTCTCCTCTCTCTCTCTCTCTCTCTCTCTTACTTTTTACGCATTGTTAACGAGCCTTTGTCCCTGCTATAACCGGTTGGGCTCCGATGAGGCCCTGTCATAGCTGATAACTTTTAATAGAGACAAAGAGTAGGAAAAAAACGGGGATTTTAAAAAATCCCTGTTATTACCAGATCCCTGTTATTACCAGATCCCTGTTATTACCGGGCCTGTTATATATGGTTTCCACTGTATTTTTTTAGAAGAGTTTACTATTCCATTACTGTCAATGCGTAGAAGATATTTAAAATATTCTACTCTTTTTGTTATATGATTGACCATTTTTGTCACCCCCTCATGGGTTAAAATTTCCTTTTTGCTTACATTTTGAAAGTCAGTTGATATATGACTGAAGTTGCACTTTCAAGTTTAACATTCATCCAACATGGTATATTTTTTTTAAAAATGTTTTCTTCTTTTTGTTTTCAGGAAAGCCTGAAGAGAACAGAAGTGAATATTCGAAATGTCAACATGGAAATGAGCTCAGTCCAAGCTGAAGGAGAAAATTTGGGGAGAGAAATCAAAACCTTGAAGGCAGAGACTAGAGGTGTGGGAGACTTTTCTGTTGTTCTTTTTATTTACCTTTACTTTTAAGACCCTCTTTGGATGGGAATATTATCTCAATTATGTCCTTGTATACTAGTTGTATTTGGACTTTTTGAATGAGTTAGTTTTAGGGTCAAGACTGAAGTGAAGTTATTAATTTTCTGCTTTATTCTAACCAGTTGCTGTAGAAATCATTTAACACAGTTGCCTTCATGAATTTTTCTGCGGAACTAAAACCCAGGAGGGCACAGCTGATTAACCAAAAGTGAAAAGTTGAGAAAATTGAAATACCTATCGCAGCACAGATCAGCCACTCTCGTTAATGTGATCACTAGTGCATTGTAAAGCTTGATGATACCGTACAATGTTTGCCCCAGACGGAATCAGACCGAGGTGTGAACTCGCTAACGTGTTTGTTTTCTCCGAACATAGCACTCGCATCTGAGCTCTTCACCTAAACTTACATGACGCTGGATGAGTAGGGCAGTTTACTCCAGGCGGGATCACATCGTACTGTGAACTCTTCCCTGACCATTGCAACAGTTGTATCTACTATTGAATTTTAATTGATGTGGTCACAATGTAATGGTGCGTAACGACAAAGCCGGGGGAAATCGGAGATCTCTCTCTCTTGCCATTTTTAGCTCCCAGTGAAGCGTAGGCCATGAACAACATTTCTCGATGCTGCCCTGTGCATCCTTTTCTAGCTGTTTGCATGCTGTCCACGCCTTTTCTGTTTCCGCTTGTATCGCTTCGCCTCCATGTCATCTTTGGTCTTCCTTTCTTCTGTTTTCCTTGTGGATTCCACGTCAAAGCCTGTCTGATGATACTTGTTGGGGGTCTCCTTAGGGTGTGTCCAGTCCATTTCCATTTCTTCACCTGTATGTCTTCCTTTACTGGCCTTTGGCGTTTCTTTCCCACAGTTGAGCATTTGTGACTCGATCGTACCACTTGATCCCCACTATCCTTCTTAGACATTTGTCCAGTTGGTAGGCCTCCGTCTCTCTTGCCATCTGCAGTGCCTTCCTTGCCTTGTACATTGTACGAACATTCCAGGTGCCAAGTCTGGTGGTTCTTCTGGTCGACAGGAGGTTTCTCGGCTTGGTGGCTTCCTTTCGGCTTTCACCACCCTGCGTCATTCTACTCTCCATTTTCACTCCTCTATTCGGCGATGAAGGTCCTCCAATTACCAGAACTGGCGGTCGTGTTGTTTTTGCTGTTGATGTTTTTTTTTGTTTTACGGGAGAGAGCTGCTTTGCCCAACCGACCTTAGTCGCCTTCTACGGCATGCGCGGTACGGATACCATGGTCCTATTCTTTGCTCCCCTGTCTCTTGGACAGGGCCCAGGGAACTACATGGGTGGAACTCAGAGATGAAAAGCTATGAATTTTGGTGAAGGGGAAGGGCAATTGGATAAGTGTAGATCTTGAGACTTGCGATAAGATAATATAATAAGTGAAAATGACGTATCTCATGCCACTGTCACTGGTCATCAAGGTTGACCACTCATTGCTCACCATGTCATAAACCCACGCTGGGGTCACATCCGTTCATTTTAGAGTTAAGGGAGACCATTTTGCCGGTTGTGGGCCTTAACATGGGTCACTGTAGATTCTTCCCCTGGTGCTTCAACTAAGATCCCGTTCGTCTAAGATGCAGCATTTTTCTTGCTCCAAAGCACCGAGATCTCAGGCGGAGACTACAGTATATAAATATTCAGAATATAACAGGAAAAAAATTCACTTTTATTTTCTACTAATATAGAATCTAGGGAAATTAACTAAAATCAACAAAACCGTAAAACATAGCTTTTTAATTGTCTGGTTTGAACGCTCGCAGGACAGCCGCACAAAATTTGACAAATAAGTTCAAAACTGTTCGGAGATAGGTAAAGGTCAAAATTGTCATTTTCTTTCAACAAAATATGTTTTTGTCAAGTCATGGATTTTGTTGTGTGTATAAAGAAGTTGAAACTAAATGTCAGATTTTAGGAAAAATTACCCATATTTTTTTTGCTGCTTCTTTTTCTCATCAGACAAGGGTTTTAAAATAGACTTCTCACTGTTGAATGGATAAAGGAGCCTGCTTCCTTACATTAAAAAATGGAGTTTTAACTTTCAAATCCCATTCTCGGGATCCTTTTATACATCCTGTAAAACATTTAAAAGTGGAAGGTGGTTGCCAGAGTGGCTTTAGTTGCAAAGATATTTGCAGTTTTCTCACCCTTCTACCCCATATGGGTGACAGATGGAATCACAGTTGTTTTTTTTTGGAGAGGGGTAGATTTGAATGACAAAACTCTTTATTTATAGTTTTTGTTGTCCCTGGCAGAATGACTGATATGTTTATGGTTCATGTCATCAAGCTCAAAGTCCTTGTTAACCCGACCCGTACGCCTAGGGTCATTTTGTACCCTAGGGGTTGTATTTTTCAAATTTTAGAATACTTCTAATACGGAGATCTCTTTGAAATTCAGTATTTCTCAAAAAATCATTTTTGACAGACTGTTATGCAAAACGTACGTATTGGATTAACGAGTAAATTTTCTCTTTGGAAAGAGGGGGCACAATTCCCCACGTCGTATGGATACGATAGTAAAACACGACATACGGATAGGGTTTCTGGATGCAACATATTTTGTTAAAACAAAATTTCAGGTTGTTTTATTTTGATGGTTTTTGCTTCAGAAAGCTTTAAGTTTTCATAAAATATAACAATTTACTTTTGAGTGTTAGCGAGTTGCTAATCTACAGATGTGAGAACCATTTTATCTGAGTTCACTTTAAGCTAGTCACATGTATTTATTTGTTATTCTTGTGCTTCATTGTCATGTTTTGCTCAGTAAATCTTAACTTCTCTGTGACAGATTTTGAGGCACAATTGAAACAGATCAAGGATGTGAACAATCGGAGGCTGGAGACTTTAAGGATTTTGCATCAGAACACGTATGATGCTGTGGTTTGGCTCAGAGCAAACAAAGACAGATTTAAGAAACCCATCCATGAACCCATGATAATATGCGTGAGTAGCAATTAGTAATTTGATACCTTGTTCGTTTGTACTTGTGAAGGGAAGAATAATGTTGAACCACTTTTTCACATGTTATTAAACTTCTTTTTCAGCATCTTTAGTAATTTGGCAATTCTTGATGTAATTCAGAAAGTGTCAAAAAAGGACACAGATTTAGTCTCTTTGAAAAAGAACAAAAAAAGAAGGGAGTGAAGGAAAGTTGATCAAGTTCTTAAGAACTTGAAGGTTTTTGCCTTTCTGAAGAAGTGTTTGATTCCTTTAGTTTTTGCCTCGGTTTTGATGAAATGACTTAATATTGTTTGTTATCTTCTAACTTCAGTTGAATGTGGCTAATCCTGCTGATGCAAAGCTGGTAGAAACACACATCAGCTTCAATGATCTAAGGTCTTTCATCTGTGAGGACTCTGAAGATTTGGATGAGTTTATGAGAGTCATGAAAACTGAACAAAAGTTGAGGGTAAATGCTGTGAGGGCACCAGACCAACCTGTTACAAGTTTCAAGCCAAAATTCCCCATCACCAAGTACAAGTAAGCAGCATTACACTAATAACATGATATCATGATATTCTTTACTCTTTGATGTTCTCCTAGGTTTGTCTCAGAATATTAGTTATATCCTAGAATTCGATACTCAGATTTTAAAGTCGCTGTCAGGTTTTAAACCCAGGACCTATTGAATGAGACGCAAACACCTGAACCTATAGACCACAAGAGCCCCCTCACCTGTATTCTGACAAAGAAGACATACAAAAAGACTATCACTGTGGTAACTGATTACACTTGATGTTGAAAGAAGAATTAAATTATTAAAATAAGATTTGAATAAAAATGTGCTTTTAGATCAGATTTAAATGCGGTCAAAGTAGGCGCCTCTCTTGACCCTATTACTGTCAGTGATGTTGAAGTCATCGTAAAGGAATGTGCCCAAGCTGCTTCAGTGGCTCACGGGCACAGCGGTTTAACATATTCCATTTCTTTTCCCGGGAGCTCGTTCACTTGTTTTGATTTAATGACCAATTTAATGACGTATATGTCAATTTTAGATTTCATACTAAAGCAGGGCCCCGGCATAGTGGGTTTACTCCCCTCGCACATAAACAGTTAACAGAGAGCCATTGTAGTTGTAAAAGTGATAGTGTTGTGTGTATTCTTTGTTTCCTTTCAACTCTGCCATGGCTTAGTTTGACTTGGCTATAAAATCTAAGTCAGGTTGACTTACCAGTGTTATTATAAAGATGTGATGTCTTTGAATTGTTATTAGAATTTAGAATAGCACCAAAACTCATGTTTTTCATGGCCCCTCTCCTTCTCTCCCCCCCCCCCTTCTCTCTCTCTCTCTCTGTCTCTCTCTCTCTTTCTCTCTCTCTCTGTCTCTCTCTCTCTCTTTCTCTCTCTCTCTCTCTCTCTCTCTCTCTGTCTCTCTCTCTCTCTCATTAAAATAACCCAACAAATTGTCATTTGATACATTTAGTCCTGCCTTAATGAAGCTTTTTTTTTTCAACAGAAAGTTTGGCTTCCAGCACTTCATGCAAGACTTGTTCAAATGCCCTGATGCTGTGATGCGGTACCTGTGTCTTATGTACAAGGTGCACTCCATCCCTATCGGAACAGCAAATACTGCCAGTCATTCGGAAAAGATTATCAACGAATGTCCAGAATTGTTCAATTTTTATACTCCTGATGAGCAGGTTTGTGAATGCAGATACTTCAGCACTTATATGACCTTATTGTGTTGCTGGTGTTGTAAAATGCATACTACAACAAAAACTGTTTCAGGGTTAAGAAATCAAAGTCTTTTTAACTCTAGTATGCCTTGCTGGCCTGCCTAAATCTACTGGTAGTTATGAATTTTGGGCCTGTTTTACCGCCAAACTGACAAAGATGTCAAAAATTCCGAATTTACAATAGGCATCGACAGTAATAGAGGGAAAAAAGCCCGTTCTGCAATGCTTCCAAACCTCTTCCCCCCCCCCCCCCCCGAGAAATCTCTACATTCTGAAAGTTCCATACATGCAGCATTATCACATAAACAGCATGCATTTTTTAAAAAGATAGACAGTAAAGGCTTATCAGCATTCCATAGCCATGGAATTCTCGGCTGTAAGTTGTATTTGAAACTGCCAGATTGCACATTTCGCACACTCGAACACTGTTCACCTTAACTTATGCACAGCCAAACACTCCCCCACATAGATAAACACCCATGAGGGCATTCGCGCACGGACACCCAAACACGCACGTACATTTCAAAAATATGTTAGCATGGTGGTGAAATCAGGCGCTCTTCAAAATAATGAAATCGAAGATATTGGCATTTTTCCACTGGTTTGGCAATTTTTATTGAATTTTTGTTTGGAATTTACTGAAAAATATTGATGAAAGGCACAAAAATGTTAAGCTTTTTGGAGTAACCTGGTAATTATCCTATATTTCGAAGATCAAGCCCCACTCGATGGTCACTCTGTATACAAATTTTGTCTTTCCCCTTCCCTTTGCACAACCTGATTTTGGGCCAAAATACCTGGAAATTGGCCCCGAGTTTACCTGAAATGGGAACTTTGAAGCAGGCAGCCCTGACCCTAGCTAGTCAAAAAGAAAGTATAGCATAAAGGATGGACTTGCTTTACTTTACTTATATCCGCTGCTTATACCCTTTTGGGTATCGCGGGAAGAAAGAGACGTCTCTCTGCCACCAGCCGGAGAGCTTGGGTCAGGGGGATGCCGTGAGTTGTTAATGTTTCCCTGACTCCATCTATCCAGGTTTTTCTCTGTCGCACTCTAGCCTTGTTGCCATCGAATTTTATGATGTAGGCAGGTTGTGCTGGGTGGTGTGTTGGTAATCGCATGAGATGTCCGAACTATTTGATTCTTTGGTGTTGGATATGATGCATGACATCATTTGTGCCCCCCATTTCTCTGATTACTGTGTTTCTAATTTTGTCTTGCCTGGTCTTGTTTACTGCTTTTCTAAGGCATCGCATTTCACATGTTGTAATTCTTTGCTCTGTCTTGTTCGTCGTCCATGTTTGGCATTGATAGGTGAGTTTTGGGATGAATATGGTGTTGATCATTTTGAGTTTTGTTGTCATGGGGATGTTAGGATGTTTCAGTAGTGGAGTAAGCTGGTAACTAACATTATTTGCCTTTTGTACTCGTGTTTCAATTTCTCTGTTCAGTCGCCAATCCTCTGTGAATATACTTCCGAGGTACTTAAATTCTTGGATCTGTCTGAGACTGTTGTTGTTGATGTGTATCCTGAGTGTCCTGGCTTTCTGCTTACTTTCATTTTCTCTGTTTTGTTGATGTTGATATTCATGTCATAGTTCTTACATTCTTTGTTTAATCTGGTGGTATGGTGTCGGAGACTTCGTTGGACTAAAGGATATAAATGTGAAAAATCTACTATTTGAAAAGGGCTTCAGCATCATAGGAAAAAGAGTTTCTTTCTGGACATGTATCAAAAGATTTTTCTTGTTTTTATTTTTTCTCCAAACTACTTGTGTATCACTACATTTTAGTCATGATAGCCTCTTTCAGAATTCGTAAAGTCTCTCTGTGGACTGCTGTTCTGTTTTTAGTACACTGTGGTAACATCACTTTTTCTTTTTTCTTTTCTTTTTTTTTGGTTTTTTTTTTGGAATGGCATTCACATAGAATGTGGGGAAAACAAACACCTTCGTAAAATACTTGACCTAAAAAAATTATTTTCAACGGCTTATTATTGAATTATTTGGATGCCATATAATTTCCTGTCTCTTTCATTATTTTCGCACTAAACAGTTTACTTCTCTTGACAAAAACAGGCTGGCAGAATTTTCAGTACACTTTGTCATTTTTTTATGGACATAGTGTATGATACTTCTTCAACCTGTTGAAATGAGTTGAAATACCCATTTTTAATGCAGTCTCTTTCTTGTCTACTTTCAGTATTCAATCAAAAGATCAAGATACACAAATAAAGTCTCAACAAGAAATTCTGCTCTAAGGTTTGTATCTTCAGCTACAGGTGTCTCTTGTCTGTTGCTTCAGATTTCTCTTATTATTTTCTTAAGTCTTTTCTCTGTGATGTTGCTGTATGCGATTGTTTTCTTGGTAAACAGATACCCATGGGGGGGGGGGGGTTGTTTTCAACTGAGTAGCTTTCAAGATGGCATTTACCCCTTGAGCCTTCTGGGCCTGATCTCCTGTGTGCTGATTGCGAGGTAGACCCTACCATTTACTCAGGCGTGCGTTTAGTGCACGGAAGGTTAAAGGTAGTCAAGCTCAGACATGCACTCAGGGTCCATTAGGTTGATAATTGAGTTATCCTATTCTGTGATTTTTAAAAAGTTTCCCAAGGGGTTTATTACTCTGGATGTAATGTGCTTACTTATTCATTTCTCAGCACATGTCGACATGATAAGTGATAATTTTTGGGAGTTTTTTTCTCTCCTTTTGGAAAAATTGTATGGTTGCATTAAAGGTAAAGAGACCCAACTTTCTAGCAGGCCATATAAGTTTTTAAAAATTAATTGAGTTTTGGGCTGAAACACCTATAGTTGAATTTTGCTTGATATATTAATGGGTTATGTGTGTGGGGGGGGGGGGGGGGGGGGGGGGATACAGAGAAAAGGAGGGAGAAATGTATGGAGAATAATTTAGTAAGTTTGAAATTGCTGTTGGAATAATAATCAGTTCAATGTTTGTTTCTCAGAGATCCAAGAGCACTGGCTGATTCTGTCAATGTTGACAGGGAACAAGAATTGAACGGCTTGATCGCGGTTGGTTCCTTATTGTGTCAATAGAGTTTCTCAAAGCTCATAGTGTCAAGTTTTGTGTTTTGGTCTTTATTTTATTTTAACTAATAAACTAATCTTCATCATCATCATCATCATTATCATCATCAAGTGCCATGTCTGAAGCAGACAAGAGCCACCTTGGTTTACCTCTCGTTTCTATGCTCGGATGCTCTCAAAATAGCCTATATTGTCTTGGACTTTCACTTTTCTCACCACCCACCAGTTCATTTTATAGGCGCTAATACACCCTGACAAAATCTTTCCCTCTCTATGGCCGGGTACCCGTTTCCACGTTGGTGAAGTGAGGAAAATTCATGTAAAGTGCTTTTCCCAAGGACACAACGTTGGGCCTGACGTTGGAACCCCCAAACCCGCAACATCATGATTACGAGTCTGATAGCCTGAATCACTGCAGTGCTGTCAAAAATTTGTGGCGCAATTTATTATCAAATATTTCCTAAACTAACGAACATAGACTCTCCAGCTTTTGCTCAATAACTTGTATCAATTTGTCTTTACTGATCAATATTTTTGTAATCATCTGTTAGCTGTAGTCTAGAAGATTGCTTAATAAATACTTATAAAAAATCCTAGTGGGTGGTTTATAGGATTTTTAATAGGTTTTCCGCTGGGGCAATACCGCCTTTAAAAGCAAGTCCGTAATTTTTTTTCTTATCAAGACATTGAGACCTTTAGCGGAAAAAATGTGTTCACTTTAGAATTAATTTCTTGTAATAAGTTTTGCTGCTAAAAAGTGTCATTAGTGAGCTGTGATGTAGGCCATATGCATATGCAAATTGTGTGTGAGATGTGGGAAGTGCTGTGAACAATGCTATTTTCCTGGTGGCGGAGATTTATAGTATTTTATATAAATTTGTGAAGAAAGGTTTTTTTAATTTAGCCTTGTGCAAAGTATGGATGACATTGATTCACCCATATGTTGCTCCAGAAATTTTTTACCACACTATTGATTACAGGGTTGTTCTTGGTCTGTTTCTGCCTCATTTGCCTTCTATTGTTCCACTGAGTGCAAGACGACGTTCGAGGCCTTAAAGATTTGTGTCATGTCAAGTGTCCCAGAAACTGCATGCTGTCTTCCTTACTTACTGTTAAAGTCTCACACTAGCTTCTTTCAGCAGTGCCTAATTTTTTTTCGTTCACTCCTTTGTTTTTCAAAATTGGGCTCATTCTATTGAAATTGTCTTTAGCCGTTGCAGGTTTTTTATTTTATTTATGTGGCACATAATTAGATGTAGTTGTATATCCTAGACATTTAAACTGTTGAACTTATTTGGTCTTTTCCCCTTTACCTTTAAGATTACAAATAGGTTTTACTTGGGGGGAGGGAGTGGTAATATTACCACGCATTTTGTTTGGGTTTTTTTGGTTTATGGGAATTTTTTGGGTTGTTGTTTTTTCATTTAAAAAGTATCCCCTGTGCTCACTTTCTGTCACAGCAATATCAAAAGTAGTTGAAGGTCCTTTTCTAAATCACCAGTTAAGACTCATTGATATATCTGATTTCTCCACTTAAATGAAGGTAAACTACAACCTTGTACTATTTTAATGAAAATCAGTATCACCACGTGCTTGTTCATGTTGAATGACAGTCTATTTGGAAGAAAGTAAGTCAGATCTGTATCCTTTTGCATCAGTTTGTACTGTTGGAATCATCTTAGAGAGTTAATATTTAATCAGATTTTCTACTACCTCAGTTCTTATCTCGGTAGTACGGTGAATGTAGTAGAACAGATTTGTGACCAGTTCAGTAGCTGAAGCTATCTGCCACTGACTTGTCACTACTGTTCTATGAGGAGATGTTCATGAGTTGTTTTGTTTGCCACAGGAACATGGACAAGCACAGAGAAAAAAAGAGGATGAGTACAAGGTGTTGCAAAAGAAATTGGAGGATATGGAGAAAAGGATGAATGAACTTCGAGAAGAAAGGGTAAGCTGAGGTTCATTGCCTCTCCAATAAAGACTTCATTTGCTTTGGGTTTTTTCCACCTTCTCACAACAGTACTTGTCAAAAATAAATTAAATAAATAGTTCAAATTTTGTGATTGGTGTACAAAAGGCTGCCTACCAATACGCAAAATACGAACTTTGATACTTTTTGAGGGTCTTAGTACTGAACTCCGTTTTCATATTGTGAAATATATATATATATTTTTGTATTTTTGTAGTATCGCTCCCACTAGACTTGATGATGCTGAAGAATAATAATTTCGAGACTGGATTCGTGAATAATAGTGAGAATGAACCCAAGTGAAGAGATTTTTTTGTTCCACGTCTAGTTTTGAGTAGCTTTTCTTTATTTAATGCAGAAAAGTGTATGGGGGGGGGGGGGGGGGGGGGGGTTAAACAACCGGTGCCCACTATTTTGACTCGATACATGGCTTGAGTCAGGTTTTGGGGGGTTTTGAAAAGTTGGCAGCAATGTATACATTTTTTTAGGATAAGCTGTGTCGTATTCCTTGATTGGTAGTACTGAGCAAGAATGTTTCATGGGAGCTGGTTATTCAATTGTATGATGACTTCAGGTTTCTGGACTGGTGCATTAATTTCATCTTGTAGTCCACACCTTACTTGGGAATTTATGTTTTTTTTAATCTTGTTTAGGTACCTGGTTTAAATGTCAAAAAAGTAAATCTGTGTACAAGACTTTTTTAAATGTATACATCATCAATGATTTTACAAGAAGGAAATAACTGTTCATATTTTCTATTACAGAGGAATTTGATGAAACAAAAAGAGCAAAGAAAAAGCATCGAAAACCAGATCACCACCAAAAAACAGAGGTATTGGCTGAAATGTAGTAAATTATTTTTATAACATATTTGGGGGAAATTTCACATGTTACAATCTTTTGGGGTGAAAAGACCTCAAAATTCTGAAAATTTAATAAATCACGGATTTAAAAAATCATATGCATATACCTGCAATTTGAAGAGCACTGGAAAGCTCTCTCCCTTCCTCCTTCCCTAGCACTAATCAGACACACGAATTTGGTGTATTTCATCATATTCATATTGGTGCTGGCCCTTTAAAATTATATGTAAAGAAAGCAGCTGAAAAATCTGGATGAATAACAAAGGTATACTCCTTTTTAGTGCCCCAAAACAGCACGTCTTCAAAGGTTGTCGAATAAAAAGAATGCAGTCCTCTGTGATTTAAATCCACGCGTGTTTTCATCATGAGTGTGAGATTCAGTCTTTTATCTAAACATGGTTAGGTTTCCTCTTTGTGGCCCCTGGACATGGACATCTTTGGCAAGACACACGTGTTATGTTTATGTTGATATATAATCTCGACTTTGTGTTCTTCCTTTGCCCTATTTTAAAAGTGTATTCACTAAATCAAGTGCTTTTTCAAACAAATTCTTTGAATTGTGATTCCTGGGGTTTTGTGTGTTCATAAAAAGATTAAGACTAGTTTAGGTCTGCCATTTAGTAAGTATACTGAAACCTACCCAAGACAACCACCCACGATTGAAGAGAAAAGTAGTAATCCAATACAGGTGATCCCCTTGAATAGTATCATTATAGTATAGAAAAACAGGATGGAATGAACGGAAAGTGATTGTTTGCACAGGTATTTATCATGGACAGGTGCTCGTTAACTCATTCAATCCAGTGACCGAGATATCTCGGTCAGCTCCACGATTGAGATAACTTGGTTGTACTGTTTTGTTCTGTATACTAGTTATTTCATTTTTGAAAACGGTCTCAAGTCTTATATAAGGTCAATGTATTATTTCCCTGACCAATTCTGCCTAGAGGGTTGATGGAATTTTGTTTCTGCTGTCATTACACATGGAGAAATAGCCCTTTTTATGAAGGCACTTTCAGCACGTTTGTTCACATAGATAGCTGAGCATGTCTCTGCCATCGATTCTCTCTGCCTTTCTCACATATATTTTTTTTATTCATGCAAATATTCAACAGCCTTTATTATACATGATATACAATATGTGAGGCGTGCTGACAAAAAGAGTTACTTGTCGGATTTTAGCTCCAAGGATATTTAATACATCTACTTTATAGGTGGAGTTTGTACAGCTTGTAAGTAAGGAATGATAAAAGACATGGTAGACTTGAACAAAATGGCATTGATCAAAAATCTGTAAATCTGACCCCAGTGTTGATTGTTGGCTTATATCTCCGTTCTTAGATTGCGAGAAGTAACTCATTTTGTCAGCACATCTCACATATATAGATCTAGACACTCACAAGCATATTTGAATATCAATGTAGGCTCGCTCTTGCTCATTCGGCCTTGAAAAAAAAAGTAATAAGCCCCCAAAGAGCCAAATTTGTACAACATCCCAAAGCAAAACTACTAAAGCTACATACTTCAAGTTTAGTACAACTAAAGATTCATTTTAGGTTGTACTTTGTGCCAAATTTCAAAGCAACTGGATGATATATATGGTACCTAGTGAGCCCTTACATAAGTGTCAAAATAACCGGTTCCTGGGTACAATATCGGGAAAAACTCCTGGGATTGAGTGAGTTAAAGCAGGTTTGACTGTACTTCTATTGCTCTGTTTTCCCTTGCTCTTCACATGAATTTATGAGGTCAGTCCTGTTTTTCTCTTGCAATTGTGTTTCTTATTGAAGATGGGTGGTTGTCGGGTGCTCTGGTGTGGTTTGCTCCTTCTTTCCTATCAAACATCTATCATCCTTATCTCCCCTCCTTCTTTTTTATGTTCGTTACTCTCTTATAACACATCTAATCTTCTGCCGCTCATATCACCTTATGCAGTTGCGAGCGCCTGAAAAACTCTACTAAAGAAAAAGGTTGTTTAATTTCTCTCCTTCTTTGTATGTCTCAGGATCGTGCAAGTAACAAATGAGGCCACTGATCTGAAGGCTGCAGAGAGAAAGCTGCAAGCACAGCTGAAAAAGATTGTTGCTGAAAAACTCAAACATCTGGCCAAGATGAAAGAAGCTTCTAGTGTGAGTTTTTTGTTCCCGTCTCTGGTAGTGTGTATGCTGTCCTCATTGAAGGCATTCTCTCTCAAGTCCTACTAAATAATCTAAATATTTTCACCTGACAGTTGGTTGACGTACAAAAGTTGGAGTGTCTTGTTTTGTTCTGTTTCTATAATTTTGTATTTAGTTCCTTTTTATTTTTCAACTTGATGTATTATGTACCACATTTAGTTGGCAAGAAATAAATGAGGGTTTTTCAATAAGTCTTTACCCTGACAATGGAGGAACTGCCGCACAAAAAACTGTGAAATTTAGAGAATATGATTTCTATCTTTATGGGGCACTGCATATGGAGTTTTGGGAAAATCTGAATACCATTTCCTGTGGAAACATTGTCAGTAATGAAATCTTTTTAAGTATTGCTCAATAAATTTTAATCAAATTTCTATTATTTGTAAGGAAAATCACCAGCAACAGTTTTTTAGGACATTTTTCTCTTCCTGAATACAGTTCTCACAAAACTGTTAAATATTGGACCAAAAAAGTTCAAATCAAGCTGTCAGTCCATTTTTGATAGGCCACAAGAATGGCGTCTAACCATTGTTGTAACAGATGAAAGTGTGGGTCCAGTGAAAACATGACAGTCTCGACTTAAAAAATGACTGTCCTGCCACTGGGGACTTTTTGAACATTGTTTATGAAACTACAATCTACCTTTGTCAGGAAAAGACAAGAAGAGCTGCGAAAACGAATCGTCCTGCTGCGCAACAATTCTGTAGTACACAGAAAAGTGACGACAACTCAGACAGTAAAGCAGTGTGGTTACAAAGTTCTGCCATACCCTTTCTATTCACCGAATATAGCACCAACTTTTTTTCTTTACTCAAATCTCTAAAAAGTTGTCAAAGAAAAGCATTTCTATCGAGATGAAGATGCGATATCTGCTCAGGAGGAATGGTCTGAGCCCTGTCCAGGGTCTTACCATGCTCAATTAATTTTGAAACTCAAAGATGGCAAAAGTGTGTCAGTTTGCTAGGGGACTATGTAGAGAAGTAGCATTGTGTCAAGTTCAACTTTCTAGTATGCTTCTTTCATAATCAGGATAAAGACTTATACGTATTGAATACCTCTTGTATGTTATAGGAATTCCTAAACCGTTGCCAAGGGGTGAAATGAGAAATATGGTCAAGCAGGTGTCAAAAGTGTTCAGAATTAGGACAATATGTTAAGGTTTAGTGTTCAAAATGTGGTTTTGTTGACTTCTCATCTACCACTTCAAGATAAGTCCACAAAAATGAATTATTACACTTTTTGGGGGGGGTCTTCTTTTGCCTTCTTTTATAGATTATTTTGTGTTTCACTTTGAGACTGTGTCCTTGAATTTCCTGTTTCCATGTCAAAATGTCATCAATGAAAATTTATACAAGCAGGAAGTTGTGTTGTCTGTGACCATATTATATTTTGTTTCCATTGATATTTCAAATTTGGTTTTGGTTGTGTGTTTTTTTTCTCCAGGAATGTATCGCTGTTGCCAAAGAACGTGTCTTGAGCAGTTTCAAGCTGGATGGAAACATCAGAGAATTTTCCATCATAGAATCTGACTTGAGAAATGCCAAGCAAAGATTTGAGGCTTTAGAGGTAGGGGTTTTGCTCTCAGATTTAGTTTGCTGTCCTATTCGTACTCTGTTTCAGTGACGATGTGTTTATATGACTACAGTGGCATTTTGAATATTAACTTTTATAGATTCCAAATAGCCTAGATGTTTATTTATGGTGAGTCCAATAAGAGGCTGATTATCATAAAACAGGTAATAAAGGTCAATTAAGTCTAAAAATGAGTTTTGCCTTGTTGATCAGGAATGTTACGCTTCCTGTTACACACTGGTCAAAAAGCAAATGAATAGATTTTTTTTTTCCTTTTTAAAAATTTATCATTGGATTCAACTGACCTTTGCATCAGATTGATTTACAAAAGTAGCAGTAAACAAACTTTTACCACTGGATGGTTTGAAGAAGTGCTTTTGAACTGTTGGGGGCTCTTTTGGCCTAGAGGTTATGGTGCTTGCCTCTCATTCAATAGGTCTCGAGTTTGAAACCTGACAGCAATGAGAAAATGTTCTTCTCTAACTAACCATGTTTTGTCGTCTGCTTTGCCTCCATTTTCTGCCCCCACCCCTACTTGCCCCTTCCTCTGGGCTCCTGACTCTTTCTGTAGTCTTTCTACCACTGTTTATTGGCTTCTTCTTACGTCTGTCTTTCAGCCTCACCTCTGATCTTAGCTAGGTAAATCTAACACCAAGCCTTCTCAGTTGAGGGCGAAAAATATCGGAGGTCCCTTGTGCAGGTTGTTGCGCACGTTGAAGATCTCTTGATGGTCCAAAATGGATAAGAGAAGGCTTTAGCTGCCACCCGGGCAAAGTGCAAAATTAATTCCCACCAAATTGAAAATTTTTAATGTGTCTCGCCTGCTCATATGACCTTATGCAGATGCGAGTGTCGTAGAACACTTGCCAAAACAAAAACAGCTTTTGAACTTAACATGGTATGCAAATCTTTTGAAAGGTAGAAAATAGATTGTGCAGCTTTGAAATGAAAATTGATGTATATTATATACATCCATTCACCTTTGTGTGAAAACTAATTTCATAGTTTGCCTGTCTCTTGAGAACGTCTTTGTAAAGTTATGCTGTGTGTTCCATTGCCCAGAGAGAAGTAGAGGATTTGAAGCAGCAAGTGAAAGACATGAAACACCAAGCACGTGAGAAACTGATGGAAGCCAAGAAAGCTGCTGCCATAGGCCCCAACGATGTCTTGGAGGAACAGCTACAGCAGGTAATTCATTTGGAGATTTTTGAGAGACGGCAGTGCTGGGTATAGTTACTTGCAGGTCTTTTTAGGCAACTTGCAGTTAAAAGTTATACAATTGTTACAGTGGGTCATATATTAAAAATATTTGACAACTTAGTAGGGATCTAAGTCATTTCCCAAGATTTCTAAAAATCTTGTTAGCGTACTCTCTTGATTTTTGTTTATGAATTTAGCATATGCATAGATCTATTGATTTTGAATGATTTCACGAGGCTGATTTTAGCAGGTGTGTTTAGACGTTTTATAATGATTTATCCTGTAACCTCTTTTGAGGTTCCAAGACCCCCTACAATTTATGGGCCATACCAATTTAAAATACCTTTGCTGTTTAAGTTTGGGGCAAATAAGAGACAAGTACATTAAAAGAAAATATATATGAGGCAACATATGTGAGGCATTGTGGTCAAACAAGTTTTGAGATTTATCGAATTTTACTTTTTTGGTTGTTTTTTTGTTTAGCTCTTCACCTTTTATGCCCATATAATAGCTCATTTCTAGGAGGGGGGCTCTAGAGGTTACGGTGTTCGCCTCTCATTCAACAGGTCCAAGATTCGAAACCTGACAACAACGGAAAATTTTCTCCTCTGAAGTGTTCTCCTTTCATTTCCTTTCCTGCTCCTTAACGATATGTGTGTGTGCTTAAAGAAAGGTACCAAAGGTCGTCACAGACAATCCCTTTTTTGACAAAAATGTGTTCCCTTTGGAAAAAAAAATGATAGTTCCACCATTTTTTAACAAAGTGATAAAAGGGTTTTCATTGATTTGACTTCTAAGTATTTTATTTGGAATAATTTTGAGACTAGGGTATTTTTCAAAGAGATAATGAAAACTGCTTTTTAGAAGGTGTTAAAATCTATTCTTGAAGCGTGTTTTCTCTTCCCTGCTATGTTTTACAATTGAATTCTAATCATGATATTGATGTCAACTTTATGCCAAGTTGGAAATGAATTTTCCATTAATAAATATGTTAGAAACAATTGAATCATTCGTTTGTTTTTGTTTTTCAAGTTTGTATGTGTCCTAAACTTAAAAGCTAATTTTCTCAAAATTAGATCTTTATACCCTACCTCACAAAATGTGCAATATCTCAAAAACTACTTGAGATATCTCAAATTTTTTTTTTTAACCACTGTGTTAGCATTGAATTTCCTAACAGGCACAACCTTTAACTCAAAATGGTCAAAATTTGACTTTTGGTACCTTTCTTTAGGCACACGCACATATTCTGTCATTTTCTTTCGTCTCCACTTTCTGCCTCCTCCCTCCCCTTTTCCCCTCCTCTGGGCTACTGACTCATTCGCCAGCATTTCTACTGCGGCTCTTTGGTTCCATCTTACTGCTATCTTTCCGACTCAACCAAGATTTTATGGTAGGTAAAATCTTAACACCTTGCCTTCTCGGATATGAGCAAAAAATCTCGGAGGTCCCGTGTGCAAGTTGTGCACGTTAAAGATTTGGTCATAAAATAGATAAGAGTACACAAAATTCAAAATTCCTACCAAACTGAAATTGTTTAATGTGTCCCGCACACTCATATAACCTTATGCAGTTGCGAGCGTGGAAAAACACTTCCCAAACAAACAATTTTCTTGTTAATTTTACTGAAAAACTTTGATTTAAAGGCTCGAAATATGTAAATTTTCAGTTTTCAAGGGATCTCAAGCTATTGAAGTTCCTAAACTTAGACGACCATTTTCTCACTATTTTTTCCTATGAAACTAGGTGACCCCCCACCTCCTTCAATCACAAATAAGCAAGGCAAATGAACAAGCTTTCAGATTCCGATAACTCCACATGCCCAAAAATTGACGAGCACATGATTCCACCACATCTTGACACATTCACATATGATGAAAGTTATGAAATGGTTGTGTCCTATTTCAGTTTCAGGCGTGCCACTCGCTGCACATATCAATGTGTACTTTTTTGTGTGTATAATTGATTTTTTTTAAAGGAGTTACACATGAGGAAATATTATGCAAAGAAGGATTTCGTGTCATGGCCTGCAGCAATTAAAAGTTCTTATTGATCATAGTGGTATGCTATGCCGTTTATTGTCAATGTTTGTTGTGACAATATCAGATAGTCTGTTTGGCGCTCATATGACTTTATGCAGTTGTGAGCGCCGTAAAACCTCTACAAAAAACGAAAGATAGTCTGTCCTACTGGACCTCAAATGTTTGTGTAAAACTTAGAGGTGGAGTGCACCCTACCTTTATTTTCTTTGAAGAAGTCATTCCGTTGAGTGTAAAATTTATCTTTTAAAATGCAAAGCGGTTTAACAATAAAGATTTCATGATAGCCATAGTCATAGAATACTTCAGAATATAGGAAAGATAATGATTTATTGATATCCACTAGGAGAAATTTACTGCGGCTCAGTAAATACAAACACTCACTCACAAGCACGCGTCAACAGCCTGTCTGTCCCCTGTCTTTCTCACACATGCATACATACACACACACATAATAAATACTCACAAACATACATACATAGTCACTGGATGGACATCTAGAGTGCTGATGCTTGGTTGTTGTTTTTTTCTATGCATAGCGTGGCCTATGGGAAGAATTCAGCAATGCCCCGGCCCAGCTGGATGAGTTGGATGGAGAAATCCACAGCATTCAAGCCAGAGCAGAATCCATGTTCCAAGTAGATGAACAGGTTAGTGCTGTCAGGTTATAATGACTGGGGGTTTTGCCTTTATTTTGTATCTCGTGGCCTTCCACTATCAAGTAACATGGGTCCCTACTCTTTTTTTTTTTTGGTTACAGTTCATGCCATTATATAGAAATATTTTCACCTGTGTGAGATAATGAGCTTTAGGAGTATATGAGTGTCTCTCTCTAGTTTTGATTCAGGTCTAATGGTCACAAGGGAAGATCTTGTTTTTATTGGGACAAATACTAAAAGATCCTTTGTTTGTTAGAGAGAGTCTTTGTTTTTTAACCTTGAAGGAAAATTATTCATATGAGTACAAATCGAGATATACCAACTTGTGTTCATTGTGCATTTATACTTCACTTCCTAAAAATCTTCTTCATTCTTTCCCAGGTCGTCAGAGAATACGAAAAAAGGGAGAAGGAGATCAAGGTGATGGAAGAATCACTGAATCAGAGAGAGTCTCAGCGACATACTCACCAGGAAGATGTTTCCAGACTGCGGGAGGAGTGGCTGGGCCCTCTCAATGAGCTCATTAATCGGATCAACCAGAACTTCTCCTTTTTCTTCTCCAGTCTCCAATGCTGTGGGGAAGTCAGTTTAAATGTTCCAGAGAATCCTGTAAGTACCATAGCAAGATTTGTCCTTTTCTATGCCTTTGCATGCTTTCAGGTGTGTTTTTTCAATAATTTCTGTGAGAATTGTATACTACTGCTTCAGCAACCCATGATTATGTTAGTAGTTACTGCTTGTGTTGTAAAATCATAATTTTTAAAAAAATATGTATATTTACAGCTTGTAGTGTTGTTCTGAACGATTGTATAGAATACATGCGCAGAATATTACATAATGCATTCCAATATATATATATGTGTCATGACATGGTAGAATCAGGCGCTCGTCAATTTTTTGGCATATGGTGTAATTGGTATCATCTTAAAACCTGTTCATTTACCCTCCTTTTGGTGAAAAAAATGTATCTATGTTGAATAGAAGTCAAGATATTTACGATTGAAGGAGGTCAGGGTAGCCTGGTTTCAGAAGTAAAATTATCGAGAAAATGACCGCCAAGGTTTGGTAACTTCCATAGCCTAAGAGTCCTTGGAAAATGAAAATTTACTTTTTTTGCGCCTTACATCAGTGTTTTTCAGTAAAGTCCACACAGAAATGTGTTTTTAAATTGACATAAAAGACGTTGAGCAAAAAAAAGAAAATTAGAAAAAAACTGCCCATCGCCAAAAAACTGCCCATCGCCAAAAAGATGCCGATTTCTTTGATTTAATTCATTTGACGAGCGCCTGATTTCATCACGATGTCTCACATATAAATATTTTTTTAATCCAAAAGGAGGACTATGAGAAGTATGGCGTGAGCATTAAGGTGAAGTTCCGGGATTATGAGAACCTGAGAGAGCTGACAGCCCATCACCAGAGCGGGGGAGAGCGGAGCGTGTCCACTGTACTCTACATGATGGCCCTCCAAGAGTTGACGCTATGCCCGTTCAGATGTGTCGACGAAATCAATCAAGTAAGTAAAGTGACGTTATGCTGGGTTCTCATTTTCCGTATCCAAGGAATGAGTTCTTACCCTGCTGTAAAGCTTCCAACATCATGTGTCTATTGTTTATTTTTATTAGTTAGTTCTTTAATCTTTTTTCTTCTTTAAGAATCTGCCTTTTGAGGACTTTTTTTCTTTAATTTGAAACAAATTCACTATTTAGAAAAAAGCCATTTTCGATTCTATTTTGAGTCAAATAATTGTTAAAACTGAGAAGAAATGTGCGAAGGATCAGCAGTCTTTTGGTTCTTCTTCAGTGAAGTTACCTTTGAACACCTTGTATTATTTGAAATTTGTATCAAGATACTAAGGGTGGCTATGATCAAATGTTAGGGTTTTTTTGTGAAAAGAGGTGCGCCCCAGGTTTCCCCTTGCCTGTTTTTGGTGCTTCAGAATTCCGCACAAACGAGGCAGTTACGTTCAGTATACTGTCTGTCGGACACTTTGTAGCGCTTGTATCATTTTCTTTTCTTCTCTCTGGTCTGATATATCTGTATGGGCTTGTTATGTCAATCAAAACCACCTCCAGTCTGTGGGAGAGCCACTGGGAAAACCAGAAAAATAATAATTATATGAAATTAAACCCAAACTAGAACAACGAAATCCTTCGGATCTCTCCAGAAGAGACGAAGTCATTTTTACTCTATTGCGCATCGGACACACGGCCCTGACCCACAAATACCTCCTACAGGGAGATGAGAAGCCGTTCTGTGTCGGATGCGACACAGATTTTACCATTAGACACATTTTTACAGAATGTCTAGACTTTGGAGAGATCCGAAGGAAATATTATAAATGCAAGAAATTGCAGGACATTTTTTCCGTCATTGTTCCCAGCAGAATTTAAAATTTTATAAAGGCCATTGGCCTTTATGGCGAGTTGTAGAGTAAATTTGATATTATTAAAAAATTTTATTGTTACTTAAAAGTTGTTTTAGATCACAAATGTATTTACACCGAATTTGAATATTTTAACTTTTTAGCATTTTAAAATAAATTAGTTAGCCAGTCGTGAAGTGAACTTTCGCAGAGGTGAACAACTTGTGTTTCGCGCGCTCATATGACCTTAGCAGTTGCGAGCGCCGTAAAACCCTATACTATACATACATACAATCAAAACCACTGGTCATTGGTACATTGTACATATTAATTTTATCGGAGACCGGGGGGAGGGGTACAAGTTTACATCCTTTCAAATGATACATACCCTACTGGTTGAATATATACATTCCACATTCATCTTCAGGAATGGTTAGTTGTTTGTTTTGCTTTGTTTGATGGTACCAGTTTTTTATCATGTTTTTGTTTATGCTCCAAGAGAATGTGTTTGGTCTCCAAAAGATGAATTTTGCAAGATGACTTGGGAAGTGAGAGCATTATAAACTAACTGTGCTCACGAGAACCTGACTAGGCGGCCACCTGTATAAAACAACCACCTGTACATACGGTCACATTCCATTTCCCCCTTTAGAAGTTGTTTCTATAATGACACAGCTAAAAGTGAAGCGACATGTTTCCGTAAACTGTCGACCCCTGATGCTGTGAATAATTTGTCACAAACCGTTCACCTGTCGTTATTTCTGTTGTTCTATGAATGAACCAATCTCTGACCAAGTTTTAAATGAAGGCGAGGTTTCTGGTTCCTCCCAGTTTACTCAAGTTGACCGATGGGTTACATTAGAATGGACCTTACTGGAGTCCTCTGGTTGGGGCCTCAAAAGGAAATGCATGGGGTTGGGGGGGGGGGTGTTTCTTTTTTTCTTTTCTTTTTAAAAAAATTTTAATCTGTCTAGCTTAAGACGTTTATTTTTCTCCTTGACAATGCGGGGAGGGTATCTAAGACTATTTCAACTGCAGCTGTAAAATGTTTTCTTTCACTTCCCAGGGCATGGATCCAAGAAATGAGAGGAAAATCTTCCAACTTGTTGTCCAGACCGTGTGCAAAAGGAGCACTTCACAGTATTTTCTCCTCACGCCTAAGGTTATTAGTTTGTTGGTTTTTTGGGGGGGTTTTATATTCATTATTAACTGCAGGGAGGGGGTGACATTGCAACAGAAGTGGAGACCTATTTCAAAGTTACTTGCATGGTTTGTTGAATTTATCTCTATGTCTTTTCTAGTTAATGAAAGCATGTAAAATCACCGTTTATGTTATCTCCCAGTCACTGAATTAATTTCAAGCAGAGACCAAATAGCACAGTTGCTGTCCAAGTTTTCAAGACAAAACCCAAAATCTCAGCATGCTTTGAATGGAGCAGTTGTTGTCTTGTCCTGAAAGTAGCTAAAAAAGTCTGTGACTGTAACTTATTCTTTTTTAAAATCAACTTTCAAGAGTACAACAAAGAGAATTAGCTTTGAAATTCCCTTGTTGGATAATGTTTTTTGTCTCGGGAAGTTTGGAATTTCAAAGAGCAACTTTTCTTTTTCTTACTTTTGAACTTCAACTCCCTCGAGGGGTATATCTGTTTCTGAAAGTAATGCAGTTTATTGATATTTGATATAAATCATCCAAAATGTCTGACTCCTTTTTAGTAATACATATGTGTGTGTGTGTATATAATACAGTGGAACTCGGATTCAACGAGGTAGCCGGACCTGACCAAAAAAATCTTGTTGAATCCGAGTGTTCGTTATAGCAAACACAAGGTTTTGTGTAGATACTTATAGGCACTGAGCAAGTTATGAATAAAGAGAAGTCACAAGTAGTGCCTGAAATGCCTGCATATTCAGGACTGGGTTAAAAAAAAAAGACTGGTTCGTTCAAATGCACCCGCCTGTGTCATCTCGATTGTTTACCAAAAAGTTGTGTTGCTGTGTAGAGCCTAGCATACGGCAACTTTTGATTCCATAGACCAGCGCACAATTCATTACGTAGATCTACGTCAAGACTAGCTTATCATTGTAATAATGATCAGTTGCCGAGGGGAAAAAAAAGACTGACGCGTTTGTATCTGCTACGTTCAACGCCCGGACTACTAGTGCACGCGCGATTTAAGTGCTCGTTGAATCCGGGTTATTTTTATTGATTTTAAAGAAGAAGAAAAAATGGGGAATCTATCTCATCTCGTTGAACCCGAGTTCTCGTTGAATCCGAGCTCGTTAAATCCAAGTTCCACTGTATAGTGAGATGGATAGGTAAAGTTTTTGTCCATGCTTCATTAATCAATTATAAACCTGTGTTTTCTTTTACAGTTGCTCCCAGACTTGGAATATGGAGACCACATGACTGTTCTGTGTGTTTACAATGGGCCTCAAATGATGAACCATAAAGAGTGGAATTTAAAAGAATTTATTAAGCAAAGACCAAAAGTAGCGGCTTAAGCTCTGTTTGTGTATGTTGGGTTTTTTCCTTGTTCCTGTTGAGCTACCTCTTCGACTTTCATGATTTCAGCAGCTACGTATGCACTGTATTCTCGGGGGGGGGGGGGGGGGGGGGGGGAGAGAATTTGTTGCAATATTTCAGTTTTCGGGTTGATTAAAAAAAGAAATTAATTGAATCATAACATTTGCGAGTGTGGGATGTCACTACTCTCCTGTCCATTGGCTGCAATATATGTGACTTTTTCTGTACCAGATTTCTAGAAGTATCAGAAGGAAACAAACTGTCCACAAGTTGATTTATTAGTGGACTGATGCCTAAGCCCTCTACAATCAAAGCTCTCTCTCCGGCATGTTTTGCCTATTGCTGTTCTGATATGGATTTATTTGGACAAAAACATGATGTTCAATTGGTACATATTTTTATTTTCAATGATGTAAAGATTTTATGTAAGTGTAAATTGATACAATTTTTGCATGCATGTTCCTGCAAAATTTCCACCTTTCAAACTTAACCGTAGGCCCTAGGCTGTTGTTATAATTGTTTTGGATGAGTGTGTAAACTTCATTTTTATTTTCCCAAACGTTATATGAAACACACATTCTACTTCATTCTGTTCAGTATTCCATGCCGTCATATGTGTGAATCCTTTATCTTGCCTAGGAAAATTGATAGGGACTAATGACCGGGGGGGAGGGGGGGGGGGGGCATTTTTCTAGGATCTAGTTGGTGCACTTCCATAACATCTATGGCTTGTTATGTTACTTCCTGCAAATGGTTAAGACCTTTTCTAGCCGCATGTTTGAACAGAGTTTAGTGTACCCCGCTGTGACTATCCATTCAGGTGTTGGAAAATTTTCATTAACAACCCCATTTTTTTCTGAATTACCTGTGTACTAGTTTTAATAATAATAGTGTTATAAATGAAAAAGTGTAATAGCTAGGAACATGAAATGATAAATGCATTTTACCAGCAGGGAGATACCGGGTAGTCAAAGTTATAATTTTTTTTTCTTCTTTTCTTCCCCCCCCCCCCCCCCCACATTTGGCAAAGAAAATGAGAGTTAACAGTTTGATTTCAAATGGAAGTCATGTCCAAATTATTTTTTTTCACAAAAAGAAAGAAAAAGCTTTCAGGATCTTGAAAAAACGTTTATTCTGAATATTGACTCCAACTTACCTTAAGTGGAAATTAAGCTTTTGAATGCTCAAAATCTTGCCAGAGTTGGTCTCATTGCAGAAGCCACAAGTCATCGTAGTCCTCTTCCATGTCGTTAAAGTAATATTCTGGTCATTATATTACGAGAAATTGATGGATGAACTCTAATATTGTTAGTATTGAAGACTGAGTCATAAATGGAACAGCTTGAAAATAGAACGGAACAATTTACGGAAGCGAAACCTGAACCCTTTTTCTCACCCTCCCTGTTAGTTTGAAATTTTTTGTTTGTTTTCTGGTTTTTTAAAATTCATTTTTACATTAAAAATGGAATGAGTGTTTGAGCTGATGGATATAAATGCTTTTTTTTTTTTATCCAAAAAAAAGAAAACGGAGGTGTAATCTTTTGTTTTAGCCTTAGTGTGTTCTGAAACCTGACATTAGTTAATTATAATTTTTAATTCTTTTATAAAACAATATATGTGTCACGACACAGTGGAATCGGTTGCTCGTCAAGTTTGGGGCATATTGAGTTGTTGGTATCATCTTAAAGCCTGTCCATTTGCCTTCCTTTGTATTTGTATGGAAAAAATATCCATTTATCTCGAATACAAGTCAAGATATTGGCGATTGAAAGAGGTAGGGGTCACCTGGTTTCACTAGTTTCTGAGGTAAAATAGGCAAGAAAATGGCCACCAAAGTTGAGTTATTTCCTTAATTGGAGAGTCCGTGGAAACTGAAAACTTACATTGTTTATGCCTCTAATCAATGTTTTTCAGTAAAATACACACAGAAATGCGTTCTGTAATGAGCATGAAAGGTGTTGAGAGAAAAAACAATAAATTCGATAAAAATTCCCGAACCTACAGAAAAATAACATTTTCTTGACTTTCATTTTCATTATTTTGACGAGCGCCTGATTTCAACACAGTGCTTCACATATATTTTGTTTGTATTTTTATGGGGGAAAAAGAAGGAGGATAGTTTTTTTTTCAGTTGGTTGTTTTTTGCTGATATAATGTCGGGGGCAATGTAATAACAGGCTAGCATTAAATGAGGCAAAGTATGCACACTAGCGCAGTCCCTCATCGAGATTTGATTTTTATCCAGTCAATCACCCTGACTGTTTTTTTAAGTTAAGATCCTGAAATTGCTGTGATTGCATACGTGTGCAGATGATGTATGTACGTTCATGTAACTGCCATTTTCCATGTTTGTATGTGCAAAATGTCTATCTGGAAAATAAAATGTTTCATGTATAATATATTATAACTTACGTTTTTCAGGTTTCCATTTTTTCACACTTAGTGAGTGATCTTTAAAAGAAATGTTTTTGGTGATTTTGTTGTTCTGCAGGCCATGAGCTGACATGTGTAGAAGGGTATTGCTTTACTGCACTTTCCATAGTTTCATTCACCATCCCAGTTGGAGTTGTTTTTTTCTTCTTGTTTTTACAGGTCAATGGGAACTTGTTATTATATATATATTATAAATATTTTCCGGTGGTGGTCTGTAAGTTTGACCTAGTATAACCCTAATGAGGGCCTTAAGGCCAGTATATCACACACTGAAAGCAGGTCCAATAGAGCAAAACCACTGAAGTTTGATGGTTAAAGGGGCACAAAGATCAATAGGCATCATGTGGCCAACCTCAAAAGCGAAGAATTCATTTACTTAAACTGCGGACGTTCGATCTCGGGGAATATGTGGTTTTGGTGAAAGTAAGGCTAAACAATAAATATGATCATTTTAGATAAAGGCGTTTGCAGACGTCAGTCCATAATGTCAGTATTGCCAATTTCCCCGATCAAATTCGTTTGTTTTTATCCTTGATGCTACTTCTTTCAAATGATAATGCTGTGAACTGAATGGATTAATGAGGCAAGCATATGACTATGAAAATGAATGTGTCTGCCTTGGTATTTTCTTTTGGCCATGGGCGCACGATTAGCTCAGTTGGTATCATGCTGGAGTATGGAGCAGTTGGTCCTAAATCGAATCCCCAATGGGACATTTAAAGTAAAGATTTAAACGGGTTGTTTTGGGGAGATTTTGAGGTTCTCTACCCATTTAGCTTATAAGTCCTGTCGGAGATGAACGTTATATTCGGAAGTCCTTCTTGTTAATAACTAAACAGTGTTGGAAGGTGCATTAGACCAATTCAATTACCAATGACCCCTTGACCAGTCATCTTAAAAAAAAAGCAATAGGCCTATAGACAACAGGGTTTTGTTCATGTCCACAACGAAACTACAAAATTGAATGCTTACACTTGAGAAAGGGGGAGAGGCATGAGGTTAAGAGAATGAATCATTGTGTCAGAGACGAACACGAAAAAAGTGAAACATGCACCCACGCCATTTTCAGCGAAAGCAAGACAAGCATCCTCTTCTTGGTTTAATTAAATAGATATATATAGATCTATTTGCGAAACGTCTACAGCAAACTCATAATTTTTTTCCCATTGTACAAACATTTCATCATGTTTTCATAGTATAGCCGCGCCGCCACAAGTCTCCCGCTTGTAGGCCTATCTTGATCGAGATGCTGAAGTATTTCTAAACCTTGCCATGAAAAATAAAATTCTTATCAACTTAATCAGATGCCCTAAAAAAGTAGGACTTTGGTCTAATTTTGATAGCTTACTTACGTGTCTGGAAAATGGACGCCAGAGCCTCTTGTACAGTAGCACTAGTCCACAGTTCTAGTCTTTGTGTGAACTTGAGCCTGCTAAATGACACTCGATTAAGACTAACTAGGCCTACTTGTAACAGAAAAAGCATCTGCACCTTTTGTTTTCATAAAGTGGGCCTATAGAACTTTTTTTTCCGGTAGGCTACCTCATCCACAATTTATAGGATGGGGGGAGGGGGCAGTTGGAGCACACTATTTTTTTTAATGGACATTTCAAGGATACTTAAAATGCTGTTTCACGTGCATGCATTTTGCAGTGTTTCTACATTTCCGTCAGCAAAGTTTTTATGGGCCTACCCAACATTTCTGGACTGGTATCTAGGATGAACCAAGGTGGTTGGACGGTGCTCTTGTAGCTCCTAAATTCTACTTTTTTTTCTTTCACTCTGTTGTTTCCGTCTGCCTATCTTGCTTTTTCCTTGCACTAATTGTCCGCTATATTGTGTCGATTTGCTTCCCGTTGTACTTCAAACTCAAGACGTATTGAGCTTGTCTGTGATCACTCTCGATTACCACAATGCCTTTCGTTCAAACAGGTTTAATGACCATGTTATGATGGTGTTGGTCAGAGGTGGGGCAGGTAAAGGTAATTCTGCCTTCATTATCCCATACTGCTCACTTTTCTGACTCATGATCTCAATACGGTTGAAATACTGTTAAATTTGCTCTAACGGCCACCTGTATAAGACGATCACCTATGCAAACGGCCCCTCCCCCCACCTTGCATTTTTGTTTTCATTTTATTGCACTGTGGAAGACGGCCACCTGTCTAATCTATCACTTTTCTCATCGACAATGGTTATTCGCTTGTCATTTCAAAAATAGTGTCAGTCGAAGATTACTACTGACGTCTATCTATCACTCAGTTATTTATCTGTTATGTAAGACCACAGAGTTTTGATTGAGGAAGAAGATAGGGAATCAGAGGCCAGTACTGCCGTGGAGAGGATGAGGCTTTTGGGAATACAAAATGGAAGCGGAAAATCTGGCATCCTTGCAGGAAAGAACAGAAGAACGTTCAACCAGATCTGGCACAATCAGTGGAAAGACCCTCGGCGACGTTTTGGAGAGAGCAACGGAGCATCAATGGACATGTCCGGAGTGCAGGGATGTTGCTGCCTGAAACAATGAACGGAGTTTTACACTGTGTAAACTCTGGTCAGACTGCGAAATTAAGTGCAAGGACATACGCTCTTGAACAAGTGAAAAAAAATAATGTTTTGGGATGCCTCATTCTTTCCAGGGTGTTATGGGAAATCAAATTCGTCTACAGAAGTGAAAAAGCGTAGAATCTAGAGTGCAGAGATCTAAAATCTTATGCCAGAAGTTTGCGCTCTTGTGCTTGCTTTACTTGAATTTTGAGAACGCACCTACCACTGCACGTGCGATTTTCAAAAGAGGTTGCAAGGTCTCTGTACTTCCGTGTGGTCAAGTATTGAAATATCACCCTTTTTAAGGAAGGAAAAAAGAAAAACCAGCAGAATCTGACTGGGTTGTTGTCTCTGTCTGTTTTGTTTTTCCTTGAACAAAATGGTTGGCATCGTGCAAATGTATCATTCTTATTTCTTACACATTTAAATGTAAGGAGTCATCGAAAAGGGTCAGTCTTTGTCAAGAATGTAATACTAGCGCTGAAAGAGACCAGAAACAACGAGTTTGGCAGAAGCTGTGTTAAGAGGAAAGTTTTAAAAATCTAAGTGTAAGTAAGGTAACTCATCCGTCTTCACAAATAACAGAGGATTGGTTTTCTCCTTGGCGTTACTTTTGGTACTTCGGCCTTCTCCAGACTTTATTTCCGTTTTGTTTCTCCGAAGTTGTGTGATACACTGTTGTTTGCAGTGACAAATTTTATGGACCTTTTGAAAATGCGTGTGTGTGTGTGTCACTCTGTGTGGGTGTGCGTGTGTGTGGGGGGGGGGGGGGGGTGAGTAAGCACTCTGTGGGTGTGCGCCCGCGTGTGTGCAGTCGCATGCACCGTTTGGTGACTGGTTTACTTCGCTCATTTTTCAAGTAGGTCAAAATGATGGAATCGTAAACATAATCATAATGTTATCAGCTGGACGACAAGAGAGAAGTCGTCATACATGTATACAGTTTCCAAGACTGAGATTCTGTTTGCTTCATTGGCGACTTGCCACCACCAAAACCTTTTCACGATCTGTTTGGCAGGCATGACAGAAAATTTTCCCAAACAAAAATTAAATACAGGTAGGCCTATATTATTATTTTGATGACTTAGGCTACGTAGGCCTACCCGTATGAGACAATAATCTGCCTTGAGGACAACTTTTGCGATATTTAGTAGGCCTATTTAGTCTACATAAGTTGACTTACTATTCCGTAATGAGACTGATCACTTTCAAACAAAGAACATTAATTATTAGCCTATAAAGGAAAAAGGAGCGCCGCCGATCTTCAACTTCAAGGTTAAAAAACCCATAGTGAGTTTTTCCAGAGAGGGTTTACAGTAATAGTATTACTGTAAACTCTCTGGTTTTACTACGGTATTATTGTAAAACTCTCTGACCCACGATGAAGGCCTATTGTTACTTATTATTGTATCAGTTGTGTTATGCAGCTATTTCATTGGTTGGGCTCTGAAAATTTAGCCGTCTTCGCATAATTTGTGTATACAGTTTTCTCTCATAATTTTGTCTGTTTTCTGATAAGGTTATTGTCAGCTGGTTCCGTCAAGGAGTTTAAAACAAATTGTAACCTTCTTGCGTTCCGTTTATCAAAACGTGGTCTAGCGCATTATTCCAGGTAGATCTACATGTTTATTAGTCAAATTTAAATCATAATTCTTTTCAAATGCATTCCATATTCACTATGCTTTGCTATGTGAATACGTGATTTAATCATTATTATATTATTATTATTATTATGCAATGCGTAAAAGGCGAAGTACGCAGGCTCCTTCTTTTAGTATTCATTCCCCTTGACCAGAAGATTGCCCCGAAAAACGTTGTTTCAGTTTCAGGCTTAGTGTGATAACCATGGACCTTACTGTATAACCTCCTCGCTGATAACTCAGTTGTTCATTTCCGGTATGTTTTGCATTGAGTTCATTGAGTCAAAATTAAGATTTGTCACAGGGAAGTGCTGAGTGTTCTAAGCCAGCCTACTAAGTGTGGGTTTTGTAGGCCTGTGTCCTACTGATAATGTCCATTTGTGGTTGCATGGTGCATATTAAAATTTATCGGGCGCTAGGCCCTAAGGCCTAACTTGAACATTGTGATTGCCGGCCGGCTGCAGTCAGACAGAGCTCGGACATCGCCTTGACTTTTCTTCTTGTGTCCAGTGAGATTTATTATATTGATTATTAGATTCTAGATCTATCCCAGTTCCTACTCCTACTTCGCACCTCGTTTTGTTGTTGTTGTTGTTGTTGTTTTTAATTTAGATCTAGATTCTAGATCTATCCCAGTTCCTACTTTGCCCCTCGTTTTTGTTGTTGTTGTTTTAAATTTAGATATCTAGATCTATATCTAGATATAGATCTAGTTAAATCTAAATGTGTAAAAGCAAATAACATTTTAAAAGTTAAAATTACAGTAGTCTTGCTGACAGTTTGTCTCTCACCCAAGCTTTTTTTTTTTGAAACTCAAATCATGGTATCCTACCTAGCCTAGGCCTGTGAAATGAGAAATTATGTAGTTTATTCGGGGAGATTCTGTGTGTGAGTAAAAATTATTAACCAAAACTTGTAACATCAATATAAATCTAAATATAGAATAGGTAACGAATCTAGCCATCGCCCGAAGTAAAATATCATAGAGAGAATGAGTCCACACCAGGGCAAAAGTAGGCCTACTTCTTGTTTGTTTGTTTTTTTGTTTTTTTAAATGTGCGTATGCCTTGATTCACACCGATGCAAAATAATGGTTGCTCCCTAAAGCGCAAGGGAGTAGGGACAGTCAACGTCCGCGGCGGCGCCAACATGTCCCAGACGGATCTGCGTGACTTGTTTGCATTTTTGCTGGATTCGGTACCCAAACCCTACCCGACCATTTACCTGACCCCACCTCTACTTCTTTTAAACCTTGATCCATCAAATGTGAATAAAACGTGCAGATCTGGAAGTAGTGGAAGATTGCCGCTGCGTCCACGACCCCCCCCCCCCCCCACCCCAAACTCCACCGTCCCCGCCCCCTATCACTATCATCACGGCAACTTACTTGACACAACATCACGCCAATTTATAAGTGAAGTACCTCACTCGTGCGAACTAGTCTTTTGTGTAGATCTATATATAAAGACAAGGTGGGGCTTTTGGGTGGGTTCAAGAACTCTCAAAAAGAATTAAAGACCTTTAAAATTCTCTTTGCTCTGTATACATGGTAGTAATTAAACTGTGCCCCACAGCTAACACAGTAGGCCTACTTGTAGTGCTCTCTGTATTCTGTTTCTCTCTCTCTCTCTCTCTCTCTCTCTCTCTCTCTCTCTCTCTCTCTCTCTCTCTCTCTCTCTCTCTCTCTCTCTCTCTCTCTCCCTCTCTCCCTCTCTCCCTCTCTCTCTCTCTCTCTCTCTCTCTCTCTCTCTCTCTCTCTCTCTCTCTCTCTCTCTATATATATATATATATATATATATATATATATATATATATATATATATATATATATATATATATATATATATATATAATATCTAGATCTAGAGAGACCTTATTGTTTCAACTACTGCTGCAACAATTAATCTGTCTGGTGTACAATTGAATTATAGATCTATGTTTTAATGATACATGTAGGTTGAGCTTGGTATTTCCAGGCCTGTTATGCCTTCAGGAACTTTAGGGTTGGTTTCGACGGAACAGATTTCTGTGTACTAGTTTAAGATTAAAGGTGCTCGTTCGTGTTCAACTGAAGTCATCATGGGTTCGAATGTGCCATTTGGAACAGTACTTTACACTAATTTTCCTCACTTCGACCCCAGTGGGAACGGGTACCTGGCTGTAGACAGCAAAAGACCTTATCAGTTGTTGGTGTTTTTAGTGCATGCCATCCACAGCTCACACTGTATTATAGTTTCCAGGGAAGACGAGAATGTTTCCGAGTCATGTTCTAAGGTCTGGTAGGGTAATAATAGTTGTCAAGCGCATAGAGCATTGCATAAGAGGATATGAGCAATATAAATGCAATCAATTATTATTTATTATTATAGCATGCCTGTAAAGCATGGATTAGGTGTTGTATAAATGCAGTTGTTCACTATTATTTTCCAAAATCATTGATATTTTTACGCAGGCCTTAGACTTAGTGATAGAGTCTTTGGCAGATTTTCTTTGAAATATTTTTTTATAGAAAGATCCTGATTCTATACAAATGCTGTCGCTGTTTTTTTATTCACAGATAAAGAAAAATAGACACTCTAGCCATGTTCATGTTTCGAGAATGGCTCTATATGTCCACTAGGGGTTCGAGATCTTGTATGTATAATTTTTACTACAAAGAGATACATTCACATGTACTTGTATAAGTCGAACTGTAGGCCTAAGCCTCCTGGCAATCATTTCTGATAATGTCGTAATATACTAATTGTTGAATGTACTTTAAAAAAGAACTTTAAAAATATTGGGTTTTTTTCTTGTCAGGTTAGTAGTATTGTTAGTCTTGTATTAGTTATATTTTCATGCAGCTACCTCTCTCTCTCTCTCTCTCTCTCTCTCTCTCTCTCTCTCTCTCTCTCTCTCTCTCTCTCTATCTCTCTCTCTCTCTATCTCTCTCTCTCTGCATAGTCTCTCTCTCTCTCTCTCTCTCTCTGATCTCTCTCTTTCTTCCTCCCTCTCCGCGTACCTTTTTTCCCGACATGAACATGATCATTTACCCACTCCTAATAACACCAACTTTGTTTTCTTTTCAACAGAACCCAGTGCAAAATAGGCCTACAGTGCTGGTTTAGTCTGACAGACTGATGGTCGATTTGAAGTCAGCTGCACAATGGCTAATGAAGTGGTAGAATGTGGAGCAGCCACAAGGGAGACTGAGAATTGCCATGATCCATTCCTTACGGAACAAGGAAATTCAGTTCCAAAACAAAGAGAAAAGAGCTCCCTTGAGAAATTCAAAGATCATGAGTATCGAAGAAAATTCTTGCATTCAGTGGTCCTGTCGTGTTCCAGTTTTGTTTTGGTAACTGTTTCAGAATTACTAACAACTTATGAAATTGACATGATATTTTTATTTTAATACACATGATGACTTGTTACCTTTGTTTACTTGGACAAATGTACAGGACGGTCTGTTGAAGAATCGAGTTGAATGTGATAAAAGTAAAGATGTTGGCCTAGCCTTTACTGTGGAGAGATCTTCTCTCTTTCGTTATAATTTAATGATATGGCAGGTTAATTATTTATATCGTTCATAATTAAATATAAAAAATATTGAAAACAAATAAGCAACAGGATTACTTCTTTATTATTGACCTTGTGACAGTATAACATGGATAGGTCGAACAAAGAAGACTCGAAATCACGCATCCATCAAACTGTGCCTGTGGTCCCGGGTCTTTTTTCTTCTTTGTGTTAGTTAGATATCCCTCGAACTACGGATCCCTTGAACTACCAAAGCTCGTCCAGACGAATTCGAGCTATCCGTGTTTTACTGTTATAAAGCCTGAAATTTGTAACACAGGAAAATTCACAAATAACAGAAAGACTTCCGCTCCCTTCCAATTTCACTATGTATTGTATGTGCTGGAATGATGAGTTAACTCTTTGTTCCCCATCGGAGGCTGGGAGCGTCCAGTACTAATGACAACTGTCTTTTTATTTAGTGCTAGCTTTTGCTTGTTTTTCGGAACTATTCCTGAACCAAGTTTATTAATTATGACCAAGCCTTTGTTTCCACTATTTAGAAGTTGGAGGCAAGCTATTGGGGTTATAATGAGACATACACTAGGTTTAGGTGACTGTTAAAAAAAACTCAGCGAAACGGTAGAAAAAACTCAGGGCTTAAAGAGTTAAGTATGAGTACCTACGATATACTTCGGGGCCCTTGTTTCTTCATGGTGATGTTATTGCTGCTAACTAATGCTTTATCAGTCATCAAACTGGACACCTTATCCCAGGATATGAAGCCACTAGTGTCAATTAGAAGCTGGTCTACAAGACAGTCTGCTGTGATAATGTGGTCTACTATAAGTCTTGCTTGACAGACCACAGTCTGTCGGATCATCTACAGCTATAAAGGCTTACACAGGCTAATAATATAAATATTATACTATCACTGCCACTCTCTGATAGACTTCTTTAAAGTAAGAAGTCAGGGAGGCAAGTCCCACCCCTCCATCCCCTGAAAAAGGTAGCCACATTTATTTTTAATACATAGGCCTACAACCAGTGACAGTCCCGCCAATCCTGTATAAACATAGAGGGAAAATGTTTAGTTTTGTTGGTTGAAGTAGACTGATAGTGACAGACAGTCAAATGGAACATTTGTAAACTGGTCCAGCGGTAGACCGACAAGTAGAACATCACAATATCAAGACATCGCAGGTAACTATCCAGTGAACTGGCACCACTAATGATTTCACCACGCTTAAATCATACAAAATCAAATATGATCATTGTCATCTTTGAACCACAATCCTTTAATTGTTCTTCACTTTTTGTACAGGGCTTAGTGATTGGACAGCAAGGACCAACATTTTTGGATCTTTTGATCATCACCGGCGTAGACCTTGAGACAGGATCATCCTTCTTTACTGCAGCTTCCTGCGGCTATTTGTTTGGCTCATTTGTTAGTGGATTCTTACATGGCAAGGTCAAACTATTCTTCTTTTAGTTAGTAGTAATCTTAGTGACTCTTACCTATTTCGGGTGCTATAGTATTTTAAGTATGCATGCACTTATTCCAAAGTACTAGGGACATCTGTAGAGAAGTGTCCATTAGCTCATCAGCCAAAGGAGGTTTGAGCCTGTTTAAAGTGATTTTCATTTTATTGAGATGACAATGGGCAGTAGAGTTCCTTTGCTTTGGTCATGTTGTAATTTATGATGAACCTGAAATCTGTTACTGAGAAAGAATTTGATTTTGACCTTTATGTGTGACTTGAAACTTGACTCATAGCAGTGCCAGTGACAATGGTCACTTTTTAATGATACTTTGAAGGAGCAAACGCGTGTCTGTGGTGTAACAATAAGGCACTAAGCTACTGCACAGAGAAGACATGAGTTTGATTCTCAGTGGGGAGAATTTTTATCAAGTATCTCCGTCTTTCTGCTGGAATATTGTGTTCCTCTCAGCCTGGGTTGGCCATGACAGTCAGAGTAGGAACAACCCACCTCCTATATGATGTAAATAGTGTCAATGTTGGCGTAAAACTTCTACTACTACAAAAAAAATATGACGGAGCAAAGGGCTTAATGAAATATAGTGGGCCATTTACACACAAACGAGATAATGACTTTGCATTTAATCAAGTACATATAAATAGTAACTGCAACATGCATGCTTCTGATACTTACAACTTAGATTGAAAACTGGGTCAGAGGGCTTGTCTTGGAAAGTCTCTAAAACGTTCCTCCGTTTTAGACTTCCGCTATTTAAAGCATGCTATAATAGTGTAACACAGTAATAACAAAATGGAATGCATTATTATTTTTTAAATAATAATATGGGTAATAATAGAATTTTAGAATCTAGTTGTATAAGGTTTGTCAATTGTGATATATTTTAACTGACATACTGTTTCTCATCTATACAGGTAAATGACCATATAATGATGGTTGTGGTCAGTGCTGGAGCAGGCACAGCTGCCATCATCACTCCACACTGCTCACCTTTCTGGCTCATGATCTGTATACGGTTTCTAACAAACATGTTCTGTGGTGGCATTGACACTTGTAAGTTAAAATTCTCTTTTTGATTTTATTGATATTTTTGTGCTTGTCCTGCTTGAAGTAGGTAGCGTAAACACGGCCTCGCGAGCAGTCGCGGCCTTCCGACCTCGTGGTATCAGTGAAATGGGGGTAATTCCGATCGCTGTTTCTTTGCTCTTTCACTATAAAACAACAAATGCCATACACCTTGTAAAAGTTCAACTTTTCCTCGTTACAATGGTGTAAGTTGTTTATATGTCCGATTATTAGGAGCTGGAGAATCGCCGACGAAAGCGAAGCCCCTCGCGGTTGGAATGCGTGGTCGGCCGGTTCAAAAATTGACATGTGTGCATTCATATGCTTCGCGGAACAAGCGATGATTAAATACCGTCTTTTCATTGGCGGAGAACTGTAGAGCTCTAAACGGGCTTTTCCGTGATATATATTTGGCCTTTGGCATTTAAATAGAAAGCTTTTAAAAATGCTGTCAAAATGTTTAAAGATCACTTTTTACATCAAATATGTAAAATGCCGGCGTAAAAAATGTTTTAATGAAAAGATCAGTTTATTTTCTATTAGAATAAAGTAATCATCTTGGAATTATTTAACATCAATCCTTCCGCCAGACTCAAAAAGCATGTGACCCCGCACACGGGGTACACTACAGTATAAGCCGACTCGCTCGCTGCGGGGGCCGTTGCGGCGCCTGCCGGGTCAACGCTCGGTGTTTTTGTCTAAATAACGACAGATCATCGTGTTTGAAGTGATAAAATACTGATTTGTAATGATCACAGTCTTGAAAAAAATTAGGCTCCATATATTTGTTATAGTGATTGTACTCTGTTAATGTGGAGATGTTTAGTGCAGGTGTACTCTTTTATTGTCTGTCAAACATGGTGTTGCAGCCAGTGACTGACTTTAACAAATTTTACCAAATTTTAAACAACTACCATTTTCTTTAAAATTGACTGAGAGGTTAAAGAATGGTACCAAAATGCTCAGTGGATATAGGCCTTTCAATTGGAACAGATAAATTTGGCATACAGCTACTTTGAAAATTTAGTTTCTGGTACCTACTTGAAGTCTTCTTCCTCTTTATCGTCTCAAGTGACGCACTTTTGTAAGCTACTTTCCACTTGCACCTCTCTTCCCCAGCCTTTGTTTGAACTTTTCAGTAAAGTAAAAGTGACCTAATTATTTTTATTGTTTTCATACAATGTCTTCCTTGGAAGCAATGGAAGGTTATGCTTAGTGTCCATTAGCATATTTTAGTTTAGTTGTGAAAAATTCACAATTGTTTATGATTGTTTATGAGATTACATCTATTGCCAAACAAGAAAGAAAATTCAAGCTTTTACAGGTAATATGCATGCATATTACTGTAATATGTTCTCTTTAGGAATGGGAATTATACCTTTACGACATTTCTTTTCTTCATATGTCGTCTCAAAAATAGCTCTCAGTGTTAGTTCATAATTTGTACATGTAGGCCTACTGATAAAGGAGCCTGTGTTCAGCAGTTCTTCCTTATTTCACTACAGTCTGTGCCCAAGTCTGGTTGTTCTGCCATCGTTGAAACTGTCTGTGCAAAGTTGAGGCGCCCTTGTTTTTCTATATATATTTGCATGCAACATGTAAAGTTTAGCCTGTAGATTCATGTGAGCTCTAAGCTGAGTCTGCGGTGTCCTGTTCTTACTGTAAACTGTAACTGCCCCTGTCTGTCAGGAATGAAGACGACATTCTCTCACTTTGGTTTCTGTTTATGTGTCCATCTTTCCTCCTGTGTCTTATCTTTCCAAAATTACTGTTTAGTCTTATTGACGGCATGGTTGCTTTGCATATATTTTTTTTTAAGTCAAAATTTTAATTATTAACAATTTTTTGGGGTCCTTCTGTTAACCTTTTCAGCAACACTAGAAACAGACCAGTAGTTATTTTCCCATGATATTATTACTATAATTATAATCTCCTTTCCTTTGCTCTTTTCATTTCAGTTGCTAATGCCCAGCACCTAGGTCTGTGGGGATCTGAGGGCCGGGCTTTACTGCAGTTCATTCATTTCACATTTGCTTTGGGCGGAATGCTGACACCTTTGTATACAGAGCCATTCCTTGCGGAAAAAGATGTTTCAGATGATCACACTACAGATTCCCAGCTCAGCATTAATACAACAGCTGTGCCATATTCACTGAACACCTCAATCATGGAAAATACTTCAACTTCTAGTCACAACATGACCATCTCAGGTGACCACCAGATCAGTTCGAATGTTCATTATGCTTTCCTTATAACAGGAATTTTGTCTTTCCTTGCATCCATTCCATACATAGTGCTCTATTTTACAGACAAATCAGGAAAAAGTTCTTCAGACGGTCCATCTAGTGATGAGAAATCTAGAAAAGTCCCTTTACCCTTACGTGTGTTTATGATCATAGTGTTGTGCCTCCTCTATGTGGTATACTGTTGTGTTGAAGACACCTTTGCTTCTTTCCTAATGACCTTTGTTGTTAATGAATACGACCATGTTACTAAGTCTAAAGGAGCTTACATGACCACTTTTTACTGGGCTTCATTCGCTGTTGGAAGATTTCTCAGCATTTTTTTAGCAAAATACATGCGAGCAGTGAGGCTAATGTATTTATGTAGCACTCTTATGATAATTGCATATTCAGCGTTTCTTGTCAGTGCCCACTTTGCTGCAATAGATGCCCTAACAGTTTTTGCAGGCTTAGCAGGGGTAGCTATGTCGTCTTTATTTCCTTCTGGCCTGTCTTGGACAGAAGCAGAGCTGATGCCTGTTACAGGTTGGATTTCATCCTTTATTTTGATTGGCAGCTCTATAGGGATGATGGTGAACCCTCTGATTTTAGGGTACCTTATGGAAGAGGTTGCAAACATGTGGTTTTGTTATCTCTTGCTTGGGGAAACACTGTTAATGTGTGTTATATTTTTGTTTCTCTTGTTCTTCAACCGTAAGTATGTTAACATCAAGTATGGACCTGTGACCCTGCCTGTGACTAGTTCTGTTACTGTCGTAGCTCCTCCTGAATCTGAAAGTCTTCACAGTGCAAAGATGCTCTAATTATAAATACAGTCGTCTCCGCCTAAGATCCCACCGTTTATGGTCCTGGTTCGCCTAAGATCCCGCTGTTTTGGAAAAACAGAAGTTTTACTATATTATAATAGTCACCCCTAAGATCCCGCACTGAAGGAGCTACATTCGGCTAAGATCCCGCTTTTCAGGTCATAATTTAGTTATTTTTTCCTTTATTTGATTAAGAAAAAAAAAAGAATAAGAAACCTGGGGGCGCTCAGCTCATTAACTAAGTAGCGAAAATGTGCGATCATTGTACGGTCCGTCGCGTCACGGATCATTCACTCTCATGAATGTGATCACACCTCTGTTGTATATCTCGATAAGCAGTTACCATGTTTACCCCAGACGGGATTGCACCAAGGCGTGAACTTATCGATGCCGTGCTTTCCCTGATCACCTGAGCCTGATCATATATCACACACTAGGTGGGGAGGGCCCACAAGCAAGCCTCAGGCTGCATTCTATCAACTGAACTCGTGGACGTTTACGTTTTCCCAACCATCGCTCTCGTCTTTCAGTTTTGCGCTCTAACTTCTTAGACAGACTGGCGCCCATACTCATGGACTGTCCAATCACCTCTGCGTAATGGGGTCATCTGCTGGCAGTGATCCTGCCTTTCATTTTCTTAAAAAATTGGTCGGTGTGGTCACAGCACAGCAATTTATGATGCATCATGACATGGGCGGGGAGCTCTGTTAGAGATGGAAAGCAATAAATTTTTGTTGGGAGGGGGGGGGGGGGCATTGCTTGAATCCAACTGGTTCCCACCTGACACATTGCATGTATTTTTTTTAAAACCCTGCCCCCAAACAAACAAAAATGTGAATAACGACTTCTGAAAAGAACTTAAGTGCCCTGGAGTCACGTCAGTTCATTTTAAAGTAAGGGAAGATCAGGAGATCATTGTACAGATTATGGACCTGACCATGAGTTACTGTGGATTCTTCCCCCTGGCCATTTGGGTAAGATCCCGGTTCGCCTTAGATCCCACATTTTCCTTGCTTCCGAGCACCCGGATCTTTGGCGGAGACTACTGTATATATATATTTTATCAGACTGTGAAGTGAAACAGGTTTATCCAGTCTGTCATTTCTCATCCGGGAAAAAACTTCTGAACCATTTGCTGTTATGCCTAAGAGTTTTACTTAATTAATGAAAGCATGAAATAGCCTATAGTTATAGCTCTGCTTATGCGCTGCTCGCAAATGTTGTTGCCTGCATTCTGTAATCTGCTTCTCTCTTTAAAATAATTGGGGACTTTTGCTGCCATATTGTTACTTTTGCTTTTTGCAATAGATTTGCAAGCCATACATCTTACAATAAAGCCTTTTTATTATGATGTCTGCCCTTACAAGTTTTTGATTACTAAATTAACACAAAATGGTAATCCTACCCCCCTCCTACAAATGTTTTAGCAAGTAGGCCTATTTATGCTATTGACATAAAATGTTGATCCATGCATTTTGTCAGTGGAAAACATTGTATTCAATAACGCAGTATTTTTAATCAATGAACTTCATGGGTTTGGGGTTTTTTTTAAGATATTGTTTGTCCTTGTCTTTCATTTTAATTTGTTTGTGTGTTCCTTTTCTGTGTTTTTTCTTTCTTTTTATCTGGAGATGAGAGATGTGTCTGTGCCCATGCTAGGGAAAATTAGGTAAGCCTATAAACTTTTTGTATTCATATATATATGATCCAGCTCCGTATATATATGAAAACGTTTTAACGTTAAAATTTATTAATGCCTTTTCCGAGTGCCGACACCCATGAACATTTTCAAACCCATTGTAACTTTGTAGCCTTGCAGAATATAGAGATATGGGGTTTCTATATATATTTTATGCAATAAAGAAAGGGTGTATTACGTCATCTCTGTGTTTGTTATGTTTTTTCTTAATGGTGTGAAATCACTTTGTGCTCACTGAGGCTCTAGCAGAGGTGAGGTCAATTCCAGTCCATGAAAGCAAGAATGGTGAAAATGTATATATATATATATGCAATATATATTAAACAATTCTGTGGGTTCTTGGTTTTTTCTGTTCAACTCAATGACTCAATATAGTTACTCATACACACACGAAAGGTTGAATTTTTGGTTGTTTGTTTTGTTCTCTTTTGGTGTGTGGATGGTTAGCAGGCGCACTGGTGTCGTTTACTCTTTCTTTCCTATCAAGCATCTATTGTCTTTATCTATCTTCATAGGTCAGAGGTCTTCACTTTGGAGCGTAAAAAGAACTGCATGGAATGTATGGTGGTTATTTCTGATCACAGAGCTAGCAAACTGATGGAGTTTGTAGTAGATTGATTCTGTTCAGCCTATATTTCAAAGAGACATGTATAATTTTGATGTCAAATTTAAAGCAAGTAGAATATATATATATATATATAAGATCCTACAAATGTATCTTGTTGGAACCCTCTAGTTGTTGGGTGTCACATATAAACCCAATTTTTGTGACTGTTTGATTGCACAAGAGAAGCATGGGATTCTGGTTTTCAAAGATAGTTCGTTGGTGGTTGGCCTGTGCTCAAGTGTGGTTTCCTTCTTCTTTCCTATCAAATATCTATGGTCCTTAACTCCCCTTCTTCTTTTTTATGTTTGTTGCTCTCTTGTAACACCTCTAATCTTCTGACACTCATATATGACCTTTTGCAGTTGCGAGTGCCGTAATACCCCTACTAAAACTAAAACTAAGGATAGTTTATAATTTATTTATATGGCAACCTGTGTAATCATTTATGGATAGAGTTTATTTCTCCACACTGATAATTAAAGGAAAAACTGTTCAAGGTAATTCATATATTTTTATTGTCAGTATTGGGGGCTCTTTAGTGATTTTGATTGTTTCAGAATTTAAGTGTCTTCTTTTTAAGGACAATATGGCATCTACAGATCATAGGGTCAAATTATAGTCAAACCCTTGCTCATTTTGATAGCAGTTGATGAACTCAGCTAAAACCTAATACACTCACTAGGCCCACATACTCAGTCTCACTCTACCTATCTAGCAGCATATGACGCACAAAATGAGGGCAGTACATGTATTTCAATTGTTACTATGATATCACAATGAAACAATTACAATTTTGATAGGTTACCTACGCAGCCCTTATCTTGAGATGGAGGGTAAAGTGCACTTTATTTCTCTTCTCCACTATTGTTGTAACAGTAACGCATTAGGTCCCAGGTTCGAACCGAAATCAAGACGAGGAATAAAAACCCACCTTAGTCTCTATATCGTGAAGTCACACGTGAGTGACATGGGCCTGACCAGACTGGCTTATATTCGGAGTTACTACAAAAATCGGGAAGTTCTGCCACACCCACCACTCCATCTGGTCCTTTCCTCCTTCAAATTATCACTCTTCGGACTCTTTTTCGAATAATCAGTCAGGACAAAGCTTCGTACAGACGAAGATCTCACTGAAGAAGTGAAAGTTAATTGCATTCTCTCTCTCTCTCTCTCTCTCTCTCTCTCTCTCTCTCTCTCTCTCTCTCTAATTCCTTGAGGAGGGGTAAATACAATGTATTAATATTATATTTCCCTAAGCTCCGATGGCAAAAATGCATGGAACTTCACAAGGATTACATTGAGAAGTAGATAATAGAGTAATTGCTCTAAGCTGGAATTTCATTGTAACTCAATAAGAATTTTCTAAGATATAGCCATTTTCACATAAACTTTGGGGACAACCCTCCACATAGGCCTACAAATAAATGTAGGCTTAATACATTCAACAGTTCAACATGTCGAAGATTCTCTCTTAATGGCGCTGGCGGAGGCCGAAATAGTCAACTTAGGAGCCTGTTCCAATTTGACTTTAAATAGACTTATTTTCCCTGGACATTTCTAATTTCCTTCCAGATTTAATTTTTAAAACTGAGCGTACATTATATCAATACTAACGGTTATGTTCTAGGAGCACACTTTTTTAAAGTAATAGAAATAAATAAAATAGATTACTTTCCCAGATCTAAGAAAACAGAGGTTGCCATATATATGAAGTACTTTTACCCTTTATGTTCTTATTTTCTGCCGACCTGCCCTAAATTTTCACCACATGATCTCTGGACTATGCAGATAATGAAAGTGGAAAGAACCCAAGGATCAATTCCTCAATTCTTTTTTAAAAAGCAAAAAAAACAACAAAAAACGTAGCGCCAAGTGTTATCCATCACAAACTACTGTAACGTATGTGTGTGCCTGGGTGCGTGCCTTCTCTCTCTCTCTCTCTCTCTCTCTCTCTCTCTCTCTCTCTCTCTCTCTCTAACGTGGAAAGTGTTTGTCTGAGGCTGTACCGTGGCCCTGTCCAAGAGACAAGGGAGGAAAGAATAGGACCACTGTATCCGTACCGCGCCAAAGGTCGGTAGGGCAAAGGGTTAGCAGCCCTTTTCAGTAAAACAAAAAGCAGCTACAAAAACATCAACAGCAAAAACAACACGAGCGCCAGTTCTGGAAGATGGAAGACTTTCATCCCCGAGGAGAGGAGAGAATAGGGAGTGTAGAATGACGCAGGGTGGTGAAAGCCGAAATGAAACCACCAAGCCGAAAAACCTCATGTCGACCAGAAGAACCACCAGACTTGGCACCTGGAATGTTCGTACAATATACGAGGCAGGAAGGCACTGCTGGTTGCAAGAGAGATGGAGGCCTACCAACTGGACATATTGGGTATCTGTGAGACGAGATGGACGAATGCAGGGGAGTGCCAACTTGCTTCAGGGGAAACAATTCTCTACTCTGGACATTTGGAAGCAAACTCGCCACATACCGAAGGAGTGGGTATTCTGTTATCATCACACGCCAAGTGAGCTTTGATAGAATAGAAAGCAGAGGGTCCGCGACTAACATCAGCCGAATTCCGTTCACAGAAGAAAGACATCAACCTTCATGTTATCCATGGATATGCCCCCACCAAGGATAAGGAACAGGATGGGAAAGAGACCTTCTACAAAATGCTACAAAACACTAGTGATCGGGTTAGCAGGAAGGACATCTTGATTGTAATGGGAGACTTCAACGCTAAGAACACTAGGCGAGGATAGCAGCGTGAAAGAGACATGGGAAACAATAAAAGAAGGCGGGACCACTGTGTGTCAAGCGGTACTGGGGAAACGGAAACG